GTTAGCACCGTGTCCCCTGTGCCATGGGGAGCGGGGCTGTGTTAGCACCGTGTCCCCTGTGCCATGGGGAGCGGGGCTGTGTTATCACCGTGTCCCCTGTGCCACTGGGAGCGGGGCTGTGTTAGCACCGCGGAGCCGAGGGGTTCCCGCAAACCCCGTGAATAAGCCGCTCCGCTCGGGGCCGGTTGCTGGCGGAGGGGCTGCGGCACTCGCGGTGTCACCCCGGTCCCCTCGCCGGCCGCCCCTCGCAGCCCCCGCCCAGCCCGTGTCGGTCAGTGGGTTTCCCGAGGATGGCCGCACTGGGAAATGCTCGGGATGAGGTGAGATGAGACAGTGCGAAGGGCAGCGGGGAGCTCGGCAGTGAGTGTCTGTACAGGAGCCATCCCGGAGCAGCATCTGTGCAGGAGCCGCTCCTGTTGCTGCCCTGGCAATCCTGGGGATTCGACACGCGGCTCTCGGGGGGTGACGGACACGGGGCTGCAGCGCTGTGACAGAGCCCCATGGATATCCTTAATGCCCCCATTTAACTCCTTCTGTGACGTGGGAAAAGGATGTGGCTGACAGCGTTGCTATGCGTGTGAGCTTTGTTTTAAAAAAAAAAAAAAAAGTCGCCTTAAAAAGAAATAAATTTCCCAATGGTTTTGACCTCTTGAGGCCTGAGATAAGGATTTGGTTGCATCTTATCTAAAACTCATCTGCAGTTTAGTTGTTTTGCTTAGCATGAATCCCTTGGGATAGCCTTCTGCTATTGCTAGTTTTCCCTGACCTTGATCCGTGTATTATCACATGTGGAATGTTATGCATGGAAATAGTCCTCTGACATTAAGTTTTCACACTGGTTGTGTCACCCCAAGTTCGGTCTTGGATTTGTGCAGGATTGTATAAGGTAGTGGTAGAACAGACCTGCCTCCTGCCAGTCACTCAGATGTTGAAGATATAAGAAAATGGAGCATAAAGACCAGAGAAAGCTGAAGTTTTTGGTATTTTAAAACAATAATTGTTAATAAAATGTTGAGATTAAACAAAATTCATTCTTATGTTTATAACACACATTTTTATACCTGTATGTGTCAGCACAGTTCCTGTGTGGTGGTTTCTGTGGTATTCTCATTTCCTTTGCTCTCACTGGATAATGCAAAACTAGTTATTCTTTAGGATGCCAGTGCTCATTCTTCCTCAATAAGATTATTTATTCTACCTTTACAAATTAAATATTCACTTACCCACTTCTTCCAATTCAATTTTGAAGAAAGTCAGACAAACATTTAGACTGTGGAGCCATTCAGAGCTAATCTAGTGGAAAGCAGGTTTTGCATTATTTCTGGTTAAAATAAGTCTGAATAAAGCAGACAAACAAACATCCACCAAACTGTCTTTTAATTACATAATTGTGAATATGTGAGCATCCTGTGTCAAGGTACAGTGGCTTGGCAAGGTGCCTTTAGGTGAGTCATGGCAAACAGCAATTTTGGTAGCCTTCTCCAGCTGTGACTTGTGATGGTGGACTAAAAGAATGTGTTTTAGTAGGAAAGGGTATAGATTTGGTGAGCTACAGCAGCTCTGCTGACAGATGGTTTACCATATTACTGTACTAATGCAGTCATTTGCAGCTGTATGGACACATCTGCAGTGACCTGTGTAGGGTACATCGATTGTTGATCCTGTTGCTTCCCAGGAGTACCTTACACAAAGTGTAGGAATACCTTACACAAAGTGGATGCTGCTTTCTCATGCGCAGAGACCTTGAAGTGGGAAGAAAATGAGTGAAAGATTAATTTAATTCATGTTCACGATAAAGCTGGATAAAGGATTCTAACAGGAATAGTGCTTGAGAGTGAGTAATGTCATGTTCAGTTCCTATCATAACCTACCATAACTGTTATTTATAGTAATAATATAAATGAGCCTGTTCAGGGGAAAAAAAAAACCTCTGATCAGGGGAAAAAATGGAGTATTAGCTATCAATTAAGTCCATCATCCTCACTAAAAGGCTAGTCAGGTGACAGCTATCTCTAAAACCATCCTGTGCAGATACTTCCATTTAGTATTGGTTTTCTTAAGACTTCATGCCATTATAAAATGAATAAATCTACATGTATGGCCAAAGGCTTGGGCATGACACTTCTCACACTAATCTGCCACACCCGAGGTTGTGGCCACGTGGTAAACTTTGTAATACATATGTTAATGCACATAAAATGCATGTGTACCCAGTAAACATTTGGCCTCAGTTGTATCTGCATACATGCTTATGAATTTATTTGTTCATTCTTTTTTGTCATATTGGACCATGGTAACTTTTGTTTGAGTGTAAATGAAACAGTGACATTGTCTCCGGGTTGGACACTTGCCAGATGAATTTTATGGCTTAATAACACTGCATATCCTATGTTTGTGATATTACAGCTGTTCCCATAACTGCCTCATCTTTTCATAAATAAGATACTCATTTCCTGAGTCTCAAGTAACTGGTGATAAAGGTACCAGAATCTAATTTGGCTAGAAATCAACTTGCTAAAACAAGTGGTATAATGTATGTGCTGTGGGTCTTATTCATATTACTGTGGTATCATCTTTAATCACCTTTAAAAATATGAGCAATGAGTAGAAGATACGCCACCAAGTAAAAGTCTTTGCATAGGCTGCCATTCTTCAGCCTTAGAAAAGAGATCAAAGAGGGTGTCAGGAAAGAAAAGAAATTAATCTTCTCTTCCCCTTGAAATGTTCTGTTCTTCTTTTATTACTTAGTAAGGAGGAATAGATATCTTGAATTAATTGGTTAATTAGAAAGATTTAGATGAAGTATTTTGTCAATATGTAAATATCCTTTGGAGAGGGAGAACTTGTGATTCTCATTAAATGGCCAGTTGAGATAGCCATTCTCTAAATCTTCAGGTAATCAACTGCAGGAGAATTAAACACACAAATTCAATGCTGCTTATCATTCCTCTTTACAATTGTTTTTTTTAGCTTAGACATTTACTGGAGTAATTCTGAGCCCAAATGTTTCTTCCATTCAGTCCCACCCTGTCTGGCACCGTTCCAATCCTACAGGAGAGCACTGGTACAGCAGGGGATCCTCTTCTCTTCATGGCAGGTCAGAAGGGCTCTTTTTCCTCCCTGGTTGATGCAGGTGCTGGGAGATTCCTGGTGCTCTTTGTGTGGCCATTCCCAGAGCAGGATGCTGCTCATCCTCCACCTTTGGGACTGAGATGCAATCGTTTACATGACCTACGTTGTTGCTGCTTCCCAAAATTGTTTGAGTGGCAGGACCTACTTATAAGACAGCATTAAACTTTGCAGAGTTATTTTGTCCTTCCAAAGCTCCGTTACTTCAGAACACAGAGACAGAAGGATTTGCTCCCCATCTTCCCTCACTTTTTAACTTTCTGATCTAACTCACAGTGAATTTTATTCATACTCCATTCATGCCAACATGATTTGTCTATGCTGTTTAAAGGAGAAGCTTGAGAGAGAAATAAAATTAAGAACACGTTGCTTTAACAAGTATGAAAAGAAAAATTACAAAGAAAACAGAGAGGATCAGGCAGGGTTTCAACTCCTGTAATTTGACCAGCTTCAGTGGGAATTGTGAGCCCTCAGGTCTGGCTGAGTTTCAGAAGAGGCAGTGGAATGGCTCTGCTCACTTAATAGGCTTTAAATTGGGCCATATACATTTAACAGTAGTTGATACACAACTGCTTTACAGAACAGACAGCCAAGGGAAAGAGATAATTAATATTTTTGGATGAAGCCTATTTTGTGCCATTCAAGAAGTGTCAGTGTGTCTACCTACCAGGAACTTTTTGGAAATCAAACATTCTTTTCTGCAAGTAACTCCATTGAAACATCAGTGGAAATTTAGAACGTAAATGTTTCTAAAAGGAAGACATCACAGAAAATATAGCAAGTTTCACAACCATAATATTTTAAAAGTAATCATACTTTTAACTTGCTGTGCTTTAACCTCAACCAAGATGTGTTTGGAGCTATAAAACTGTTTCCTTCTGTGAAAACCTGTTGAAGGAGGGAAGACTGCTGGCTAGGAAAAGTGAGAAGTAGTGATCAATACTGTAGGAAATAAAAAATGAAACAGTGTAAAACATCATTTGGTATTTCATAGTTGTGTTAGAGAAAAATGTTTTTCTATAGAAATCTTAAATGAAGTGAAAACATGTCTGAAAATGGTTGTACCTTTGTAGCAATCTCTCTCTGCATACAGATATGGAGAAGACACAAATTTCACTTATAAGCTTCATGATTTCCAAAGAGTATAAAAAATACAACAACAACAACAACAAAATTATTTCCTGAATACTAAAATAAGCGGGACTGGAAAAATATTTTGTCCAATATTCAGATGTGTATAAATATCACAGTGTAAGCAGTGGCCAATGTAATGGACTTTGATAAATGATCTTTCACACTTACTGAATGCCTAAAGTTTTCCCTGAGAGTTTCTTCCTACAAAAACACCCAAAAGCTGGAATCTGACAGCCCAAATCCATTTTAGAAATATTATTCTCCCCAGGTCATGGCATTGGATTCCATGAGATTTTCAGCAGAAGGGAAAAATATGGCAAAGCAAGGCAAATTCTGGATCCAAGCAATAATCACTGTTTGTTAAGACACTTACTTGGAAATTTATCTACTGCATAAAAAATTGTGATAGAAAATGTAGCCTTGTGATTTAGCATTTCCAGTGCTGTCTTTGATTCCCAGACAGCAGGAGATGTGTTCATTTTTATTTTTCATTCAGAAAGTTTATGGAGTGGCAAAATAATGTGAATACACAGTTGCCAGGAGGAGAGAAGATATGGGTAATGTATCTCTTCTGTCTTGGCTTCATTCAGGGACATCTGTGACTTCATAGACAGATCAGTCTTCAAAAAAAAAAAATCTCCTGCAATAACTGTGCAGCACCCTCTTATCATGTTCCTTGATAAGAGCATATGTGTGAAAACCATAATCTGCTTTTTTGGTTGTAAAGATGAAAAGTAGTTTAGAAAATATGAAAATATGGCTAAATTTCGGTACTTAAATAGTAGCCAATAACTCTGCTTCTACACATATATATTTCCATATATGCATAATTTGAAGCTTGTGACTAATGATACTGAGCTCAATGGAATCTTTATGGGATTAAGGCCTCTTTAAATCTGGGAGTTTGAATTATTCTGGGAATAATTTGGTAATTTTTCCTTCATAAGATGTATGCAAATTCTTTACGTGCTCCTGAGTAGAATAAAAATGTGTAAAAAAAAAAAAAAGAAAGTGAAGTAATAGAGGTAATCCACAATTTCTGAGCCTTGGAACATTCAAGGGACTCCCTCTCTATTTACTGCAGAAACAACTGTTATTCCACTGTGAGATTTGAAGCTGTGGAAATTGTAGAGGAAAAGTATTCATTCCTAATATATTTAAAAAAAAAAAAAACAAACAACAAAAAGACACTTTCAATTGAAAATCCTAGCTGAGTTTCTTCATTCCTGATGTCCTGAGGGAGTTATTTTCAAATTAATTGTAATATGCAAACATATTGCTTGTACATGATAGTGATTTATGGTAATTGCAATACTGGTGGGAAAAAATCCTTTTAGACTGGTTAATGAGCACCTGTGAAATTATGGAATGCACACACGAGCATCCCGAGTATTTGCCCGAGAGATTTTCTTTCCACAGCTGTGAGATTTGGGCATCATTATTTAGATATAAATTGAGAGCCTCTTTCCAAAGGGAAGCAGGTACTCGGAGCCAGTTCGTGGGACAGCTGATGGAAATAATTGCTCGACAGTGTAAATAAGGAGTTTACAATCTGGCTGCATTTTATTATTTATTAGTACTTATTAGAATTTATTGGTCTCGCTTCAAACAGCCAAGTTAAAAGTAAAAGGAGTTTCTTTTTTAGGATAAGGAAGAAATACAGCACCATATGTTGTGCCAGTGGAGCTCTGTCTGATGTAGTGCTAATACATTCCTTCCAAGGCCTCAAGACATTTTACAGCATTTTTAGCACCAATTTCTGCAGTAATGACTAACTTGTGCAGGACAGAAAATTACATTCCTTGGGAGGATATGAAATAATCAGGAAAGGAAAGAGCCCCATTATCCAGGAAGCCGTTGAGTTTGCAGGATTTTAATGCCAGAACGATAAATACACGACGAGAAATAAATCAACTGGAATAATATGTGATGGGCAGAAAACATTCTTGTGGTCTTTTTATAATGTAGAAAGTGGAAACACTGCATGTCAGGAGAGGCAGTGTGCTAGTTTCTATCAAAACATGGATTTTCTCCTGTATGTTTTTTGGCTGATGTCCTTGGAAACATTGATAACTGATTGTGGTTTCAGTGGGAGGAATAAAGCTGTCTGTAATCAATCAGGTTCTTGTCTTTGGCAGTCTTTGAATCAACGTTTTACTATGAAGAACCATTGTATATAAAGATGAATGTGTAAGCTGACACTGAGGGGGTTTTGTTGTTGGTTTGGATTGGTTGTTTTTTTTTTCTTTTTAGCAACTGAGATTTTTCAAACAGGCTGTGAAGGTGTTTGTGTAATTACTTTTGTGTAGTTTTTTGCTTATACTTCAATTATCCATTTGTTTTACAAATGGGTGAGAGAAGACAAGAAGCAATTAAACCCACAATCAAACAGAGAGGGAATACAATTCAGCTCTCTGGTTTTCTTCATGTATTCATTTTTTTTTTTTTTGGATGTTCTGTAGTTTTAGTAGCATTGATTAGCTGGATGTATTTGTGCTTTCTTCACTTGGTGGCCTCTCTCCAGAACAAGGATCTGATAATCTCTAAGAACAAGGTCTAACACTCAATTCAAAAGGAGACTTTTCAACATAATAAGTTGAAGCTCAATCAGGAAAGATCCTGGTCATACTTAATTTCTGCTGATTTTCAAAGGTTATGTTGATGGGGCTTTGGCCTTGAAATGGATGCAAATTATGTTGCTTGGAAGTGTGCCTAAGGCTTTACAATGGTGAAGGTAAGAAACACTTTCCAGGAAAAAAATAAACAACTTTTTAAATTGCTCCATCATTGCTTGAACAAACCTAGCATGAAGTTGAATGTCAGAGCAAAAATTATTAAGGAGAAAGGTTTTGATTAAGCTTACTTGATATACTGCCATGCCTACAACATTGCTAAGTATAATTTTTATTCTTTTTCTCTTTGTTCCAATAATGAAGGAGTCATCTACATGCTGCAGGTCATATCTGTGTTCTTAAAAATGCTTTCCTGTATGAAAGTCCAGCTGAAATTGCCGATCTCACCTCCACAGACAAGTTTGATGCAGCCCTGGCCATTCATCTTTATAAAGGAGGCAGACTTCTGCAAGGTAATCCTCTTTCTATTTTCCAATAAAAATGCCTCTTAAAAAAGTACTGCAGGAGAAGAGAATGAATAGGAACATTTATAAGTGGCTGTAAATGTATAAACCCACACACAATGTCGTTATTCTGTTTATCCACTTCAGCAAATGTTCAGAAATGCTGAACATCTTTCTCTGTGGGAGATCTGATCCAGAGAGGAGAGAACTAAATAGATGTACTTTAAAAGCACATAATGCATTTCGTAATTAAGTGCTTTAACTACACCAAGATAAGAGTGTTATATTAACATTAGGATACTCTCAGCAAGTGTGTTCTTTCAGAGGACAGTGGCTTGGCTAAGTATAGCTGAGGTCAAATGGAAGAAAGCAGAGAGGCTAATTTGATTTTTCTGCTCAAAAGTGAGTCAGGGTTTTAACTTTGCAGTATTGTCCCTGTCAGCCAACCCATGGGAGTCAAAATGTTATCAGACAAATAACAAAAGTTTCTGTCTGGCCACCTACAACCAAATTTAGCCTGCCATTAATGATACACTAGAAACACCAGCTTTCAAAATTACACACTGTCACCTACTGAAATTGCAAATGTGTATCAATTTCTGAGATCACCTTTGTATTATATCAATCTATTCACTTGAATAAAGGCTCATAATTTCATACTTTCATCAGATCTCAGTGCAAGTTCTGTTGTTAGTTTTCACCCTCCAGAAGTGCCCCTGCAGTTTGTGCTGGTGGGTTTTCAGAAAGCCTGAATTATCATGTCTGGCATGTTTCTGTTTCTTTTGTTACAATGGAGCTCTGATTTCAGATGGGACCCTACAATCCAAGATGATCTCTGCTAACATATGTATTAAGAGTTCTCTTACTGGAATAAAGAGATTTTTGACAAGACCTAGAATTATTTTGGAAGAGGCTTATGGAAAGTCTGAGAACTTCCTATTTTTTTTCCTTTCTTTTGCTAAGGAACAAAAAATAAGGTTGAATTTTAAATGTTTATTGCAAAAGTGTATTGGAGTTTGACTTGCATAGCAGTACCTGAATGCTGTTGCTGTTTGCCTTTCAAAATCCCAAGTGACCTGCAAAGCCCAGTACTCAAATGATTTACAAAAACTCAGTAATTTAAATAAATCAGTCACACTGTTCCCAAAAGCATCTGCAGTAACTGTGAGAAAAATAAACCAGAAACCCGTGAAAGGCAAGACAGTAAGTAGTAAGGGTGCTGGGATGATCATGGTCAAAATGTAAAAGTTATGGAGGAAAAAAAGTGATTCAGGGGCCACTCCTGGTTCCTGTAACATTTAGAAATTTAGTCATACTACCACTGCTGCCACACTACCAATCTTTTGGGCCTCATCCTGGAAACTTTGTTTAAATGAGTGGGGATGTATGATCAACACATGTAATAGATGACATAGTAATTATTTGCTTTTTAAATTTATTAGAAAGGTAATACATATTTTATATTATATTACAGAAATTCAGCCTCTTGAAGATTAGTGCTGTGGGGCTTTGATAGTGCACATTAATTCTCTTCACCTGCAAACATTAGAGTACAATATCTAAAAATGCCAAGGAAATTCTCTAAGTAGCCAGAATGGTAATTAGTCTTTCATTTGTTATGTTTGTTGTTTCATTTAGTAATGAGGAAATTAGCAATGCTAATAAATCCTCATCTTACAGCTCACTTAATTTTCAAATATAAATGTGAAACATAGACTACACTTTCAATCTTCATCAGCATATTTATTTTGTTTCCTTTTTTTTGGAAGATTTCCTTATTTGCTTGTTTTTAACCATGGATTTTAATCAGGAGAGTTCCCTGAATTAACCACCCCCACACCCCTAAGGAACTGTGGGTGTTTATAGGACCTGTCACCAAGAGTTTTTGCAGCCATGAACATTGAAGGTTGGTCATGTCTCAAAAGGAAGAACCTCCCTCAGCACAGGAACCTCTTCTTGGTCCAGTGACAGCAAATGAGAGAAAGCAAAGGACATTTTCTGCCTTTCTTGATACCCAGAGTGGGGTGTCAGTACAGATTAATTTATTCTGATGCCATGTGTCAAAACTAGGCTTTACCAAATGCAGACACCACTGGGATATATATGATTTTGTTGATGCTCTAAGGTTTGAGTGTTGATACAGTCTTGTGCACAGACTGCCACAGGCAGACACACCTTCCTCTACTTGTAGTGTTCTGAGCACTGTGAGGCTTCCTAAAACAACCTCCACAAATTGGGTGATCACAGGAGGTCTTGGTACCAATTATAAACACAGATCCATCTCTTTGGGACAGTGGTTTTGTTACAGGTTCACAATATGGTGCCTTGTTTAATTTGGTGGCATTTTCCAATGGTGTGGCTCCATCTCTACCTCTTGTAGCAGTAAAATCAGCTTAAGAAGTCAATATTTAAAAAAATAATAATAATTTCGGTAACCAACTTTCCAAGGAGAGTTACCCAGACCACAGTATTGGTATGCTTGAGGGCACAGTGGCTGGGACTGGATACCTGGGACCAAACTTTGCAATCCTACATCTTTTTAACATGTGAATAACATTTGAAATATATATGCTGTTTGGTAGGCTGCTAAGTTTAGAATCTAATTGATTGCTTTTAATAAGCATGGAAAAGGGAAATAAAATCTCATAGCTATACAACAGACTGTGAAAGTGCATAGATATTGTATGGGGGGGTTTCAGTGCCAAACCCATAAAAATTCAAGTTTCTCCAGGTTTCCTTTTCAAACAGTTTTGCTTAAATACATGGTACAATATTATTAATGTACTTTTGCACTCTTACTATCCACTCCTACTCATTACCTTGACACGTGGGCCAGCTTCTCATTGTAGTCATTGCTTTGCAGGGAGCAGAATTCCTTTTGGAATCATCTTTGGTGGGACAGATGTAAATGAAGACGTCAAAAGTGAAGAGAAACATCGGGTAATGGGAGCAGTGCTAGAGGAAGCCAGGTAAGAGCATGTGTGGAAGACTGAGGAAAGGAAACTACATTTTTGTAGTGGCAGACCTTTTAGGAAGTGTTCCCTGAGTGCTTGGAATCACTGGGAGATGTGTAGGCCAGCAGACAAAGGCTAGACTGCTTGAAATCCCTATGATCTCTACATATTATGATTCAGTGATCAAAGTAGAACAGTTTCTTCATGAAATACAGTCTGTGTGTAGTCTATCATTTAATCCTTTCATCATATTTGTCCATGGAAGACTTGGCAGAAGTAGGGCTAAAACTTGATCTCTTGGGTTGTAAATTTTCAAAAAGACTGAAATCCCATTAAAAGCTAATGAAATCTGGGCTAACTAATCCTCTGCTTTGTGTACTGAATCATAACTGTTGTCTAGAATAATAGAACTATGTGTGTGATGAGGATATAAAATTCTGAGGCAGGTGAAGGAAATGAGATGAATAGGAGCAAGAATACTCAACCTGGGATTTGGCAGCACATTGCTCTGTAAAATAATCTACCCTATGGGTAGACTCCTTAAAAAAATACACATCTAAGTATCTCCAACAATATCCATACAGTTCCCATTTGGACAGAACTATTCTGGCCATGACATAACTCATATTTGGTATCTAAATAGTGAAGTTTTAGTAGTGGAGGTGCTTAATGGTGAATTAGTGGTAGAGGTATGATTTTTTAAATAATAAACACTTGCTAGTGATGGAGGTAAGAATATTCTCATTAATTCTTACTGTAGTAATATCAGGAGCCTAAACAAGGTTGGACCCTGTTTCCAGAAGTGCTGAATGCTGCTCCAAGTTGCTTTTTTTAAAAACATCTGTTTCTTAGTAAATTCTGGGTTAAGTTACATATATTCAAACATATAAAATATTCTATATTGGAACTAAACTAACATATATTAGGCATTAAGTGCTGTCTGCACATACAGACCAGAGTTCTCAGCAGTTTGACTTAAGTGAGGTGACAACTAAAAATAACTGGCATTGTGCTGTTGCATCACAGAATCAAACCTGTTCTCAGAGCCCTCCCTCACACTTAGCTTATTGACAGAGCTTGATTGAAAAGGGGATCACTCAAGTATAAGGAGCTTTTGTTCTTTTTTTACCCCTGCTAATGCCATCCTTTCCCTGGATACTTTAAGCAAGTTCTCTCAATTTTTAGGTGAATTGACAAGGGAATATTTTCAGGGTGTTTTAAATCTGAAAAAGTTCTAGTGACATGTCACTGTAGTCACGAAATGTAGTTCTGGAAGTGATGAGAAATCAGAGGAAAGGTCTAAAAACTAAAAAGGCTTTCAAGCATTTGTCATTGTTTCAACATCCCCAGAAAAGAAGTTTCCTTCTGCTTGATCTAGAGGTCTGTTGGCTTCAGCAGTGTTTGATCATGCCCATGGTGGGCGAGTAAGCCCTTTTCTTCTTGGAAACTAAAGCATTTAATGTATGTAAAGCTTCCTTCAATAGTTAGCTTAAGTGTTATTAAGATGCAGGTTGAGGTTGTCACTGCATGTGTAGCCAGAGCAGTAGCTCACTGATGGCAGAGGTGACTCTGCTGCTCCCTGTCTTCCTCTCCTCCTCCTTTCTCTTGCTTGTGGCTGTGTGATCCACTCTTCCCTGTGCCAGGACTGGGCTGCTTTCTGAGCAGGTTTAGCTCACTAGATGACATCAAATTGGCTTTTTGTTTCCTGGGTTATTTTTCCACCCTTTTAATAAGAAAAGTCACCCTGTGGAAGGAAGCGAGAAGGGCGTGTGTTTGATGGCACTTGAGTTGCACAAGGTGAGATAAAATTGAAGCCTCTGGATGTCTTATCATACCCAGTGGTACTGCTGGCACACTTTCCCAAAGAGAGCTTAAACACCTGGCTGAACAGACGAGGGTACTCCCCGTTTATTCAGCACAGTACTCGAGCTAACACAGAGAGCTGCAGCAGTTGAGTTCAGGGTGGATTTGGGTTCAGGCAGAACCTGCAGCAGGCTTTCATCTCCTCATTTTATCTTTGCTAATACCACTCTATGTTCTGGCTGTTATTAGCTCACTTAACGCTGGCATGGATGTGCTGTTCTGTCTGTAGTGCCCTATAAAATGTGGTAAGTAAACAGACTTTTAAAGACAGCACTTAATCACACTCATGGAAAAATCATTAGGGCATGTTCTTACTTAGCGTGACTTGCAGTTGAAAGCAACTTAAGGTCCTGTTCAAGGGAAATTTATATACTTGTTTACTTTTGTTATCAGTCAATCAGAAGTTAATCTTTAAACAGGTCTGAAGGAACAGAGAAAGATATCTAATGTGTCAACTAAATTTCAGCACTGCACAAAATGAAAAATGTATAAAACCAGAGTCTCTGAGCGTGTCCATTTGATCCAGTTCTGTATTTAAAATACTGTCTGTCACAAATACAGCTAATACAGCTTATGGAAAAACTGTGCTTTACTGAAGGTTTTTTAATGATAATTAAGTTAGGAACCTGCAGTATGCTAATATCTTGAATTTCCTATGATGTTTCAAAATATATTACTGCATCGTTATGCAGTTTACAATATTTTCTCTGCTATAGAAAAAGTAATTCAGTTTTCTAGAAGTTATTCTAAATGTGTCTCTTCTCCAGTCTCATCACTGGTATTATTCATTGCATAGTTATTAAAAGAAACATTGATTTTTTTCTTTCTTTATTGATTGCAGGGTTCTAAGCAGAAAGTATCATGAATTGTAGATTACTTGTCCAGTACAATACACCACCACATTCCATAAAACAAAGTATTGAATACTGTCTAGCTTTATGAGTGTTTCATTTTTAATCAAATTCCTCTAAATGGTGGTTGTACCCCTCTAGGGTATTTTTTCTATTGAACAGTGTTTTGTAGACTTAGGAGCAACATCTTTTTATGCTTGTTAATGTGATGTATTGAAAGTATAATTGCAAAATCTGGGAAGGGAGCACGTGCAACTTGACAAAACAAGCATTTGCAAAGGCTTTAATAACCTTAAAGCTGTCAAGTTGCATATGAGAAATTCATTGTAGTATCATAAAGCAGATACTGCAAAAAGAAAGTATGGGAAGAAGGTTTGTCTTGACAAACAAAAGTAGGAGTTATAGTTCAGCATTTATGTGACATCTAATGAATGACTGTGATTTCATGTCCTCAGATTATAATATAACATCTCCAATGGAAAAGCACTGTTCTGGTTGGGACTTTGTGTTGTGCTTTATTTCTAACCATTGAGGTGTTGGCTCAGGACAGAAACATTCATAAATTACATGAAAAAGAAATGCTGAGTCATAAGTTCAATATGTGATGACCTCTGTTTTATATTCAACATCTATACAAGTAATTAAAAACAGGAATTTTGCTAAGCAGACACACAGTTTCTCATATGAAGGAGGCATTCAAACATTCTGTCCCACAGGACTGATAATCTTCAGAAATGGCCCCATTTGTGGGTCCAGTCAACACTAAAGTTCCATTTAAGAACATTCAAAGCATGTGTTTATGTTTCATTGCAACTTAAAAGCTACATTAAAGCCCAGCATGATCTTAAGATCTCTTCTGAACAGGGATTCTTTATTGACTCTGACTCCATTCAAATATCTCCTTCGACTTGTTGGCATTACAACAGGGTCCCAGTAATAACTGGGATAACTTGTTTATCTGGTATGCTTAGAAATCAGCCTTCTGTTGGCTGCAATGAGACACCTAATAATGAAAAGTGTTCCCATCAATGCTGCTCTTAAACGTTCTCTGACAGAACTCCTCTTATGTGGAATGATAGCCCACTGCACACATTTCTCAAAGACACCTAAGTTTGTTACTCATTGACAGCTTTGACTACTTAGAAATAAGGAGAGAACATTGGGGAAGGGTTTAAAAAAATCCCTCTGCTCATTTGAATTAAAGTCAGCTGCAGTGAGTTGGCCCTGGGTATTGTCCAACACCAGTTTGAAACAAGCTGCAGTTTGGCTCCCTCCTTATTTTGTGTTCTGGTTGTGAAGAGGGTTCCTGCACCTGCAGTGATGTAGGAACAGGAAATGCCAACTTCCTTCTGCAGCTCTGTACTCCATGTATTAAACTAGATAATCTGGGGGATGTCCCCATTATTTGGGTTTTCTCTTACTTTGAGGAAACCTCACTTTACCTTCCCAAGAGCTCTGAGCTGTAAAGCCTGAAGAGCCATTTGTTTAACCACTATTTTCTGCTGAAACAAATTCAAAGCCTGCTTTCTGTCTTTCCATCTATGATAATGTTTATAAGCCTCTGATCTTTGTTCTTATAAAGATTTTTTTCTGAAGTACTTTTCTGTTTTTTTGTTTAAACACTTTAAGCAGATGATCCCAACTATTTTTTTCCATTTAACTAGGTTTGCAGTGGCTTTCACAGTGGAAATGAAGGAACTGGCAGCAGCAGAGTGGGTATGTTTACATGATGATGGTAATGCTTAGGGTATCAGCAGCTATGCATTCTGCTAAAATGTTTTCTAAATAATGCTAAAGAATTGCAGTAATCTTCATATTTGCTATTCCTGTTTTTCCTTTCAGAGAAAGCATTTCATATTTATGTGCTTCGACAGGTCAAACAGATCTGGCATTTAAAAGCTGTTTATTATTTGAAAAGAGTATAGAGCATTTTAGCAAGTGCTTCTCTGTAACATTTGGAACTAATCATTACTGTTGTTATTGAGTTTCTCCTGATGCCATATTGCTTCTTTTGGTATAATTTAATAAACTTTCTGTTGCCAAAATTCCTCTAGACGGCATTAGTTATAATATAGAATTTTGAAGAATAATTTGAAAATACTTGTTTTGTCAACCCTGGAAATAGAATGAACTTCTTCAGGTGGGTGAACTGCAGGGGTGAATTTGAAGATGTGTTTTAGTAGGTCCCATCATTGCATCTGCTGCACTGCAAGTCCTCCTCAGACATTCAGTGTGATTATTTTTAGTATCTGTTTATTATTATCTGATTATTTATTATCTGATTATATTTAGCTCTTGTTTGAAAATAGATGGTCAACATTTCCACCTTTACCTGGTTGAGTTGATGGCAGGCTGCCAGTGGAGAAAATTGAGACAAATCCTTGAAGAAGTAGAAACTAAGTGCTTGGTATCCCTTCAGTTCTAATTTGCATCATAATATAATCATTAATGCACCTTTGCCTACAAAATAATCACTTAGGGTGGAGCTTGCACAGCACAACAATTAAATATATAATGCTGTGTTTCAGCATTAATTGATTTTTAAAATCTATCTGCATTAAAAGGATACATGAGCAGACATAGGGTTTGGTATTTTATATTACAAATATAACTTGATTTTAATAGTTACTGCAATGAACTTCATGATGGGTAAATGTGAAAGGGCACAGCTTCTGTCATGGATCTTAAGCAAGAAAAGGACAAAAGTAACAGGGTGTAAGAAGGAGAAACAAAACTGAAGTTTGAAATCCTTTCAAAATCAGCACCTCAGATGTTTCTAGCACCAAACTTTGATTTTACCCAAACACCTTTATGCTCTGGGCCTGTGAGACTCATTCAGTGTTTTGGAGGTCTGAGGCAGACAAGGACTTGGAGGCAAGTCTGTCAAGTCCTAAACTGAAATCCCACCTGCTGACCTGTATCTTAAATGCTGGGGGTTTGAGTTTCTGTTCCAGCTGCATCTTCATGTAAAGGGTGAGAGCAAAGGCCACATGTTTCCTTTCAAGCAGTGAAGAATAGGAATACATTTTTCCATACCTAGGTCATGGAATATTAACACTTTTTCCATATTAACTCACACTGCATTATTCCTCTAATGTGTGCCTTGCTAGTTAAGAGAGTCAATTAAGAATTTTAATTACAAACATGTAAGCAGTTGCACTGTGCTCAAGGGCTGTATCTCCCACCAAATTCTTTTCTGTTACATTGGATGAATTACCTTTAATTATGAAGTACAGCATTCGTAATAATCTGTACTCCAGGTGAGTCTGAGATACTGTAAAAGATCTTGTGCTTATGGTCAGTGTTTTATTTCAACAGCATAAAACTGGTGCATGAGAATTACCTAAGCCAGTTTTAGTAGCGTCCAATTTCATTTTCCATCCTCCTCAAGACCATTTAAACTGAAGAACAGAACAGAAAATTGATCTGTAAAGTGTGACTGCATCTCTACACCCTGGTACCCAGCATTCCTGCTATTTTCTTCCTGCTCATCCAAGCCCTGGCAGGGTTATATTTACTCACCATAAGCCATTTGGGGTCCAGCAGAGCATGAAACAAGACGCTTAACTTAAACTTATTTTTGAAACTTGGTGGTTTTAAGGAACTAAAGGCCTGCCTTCACCCACCTGAGTGTGAGGCAGAGCTGTGCAGTGTGCCAGCAGTGGGGGCAAGGCTGGCTCCAGCTGCCCTCTGCTCTTCCCACCTTCCATTTTGCTGGGTCCAAGTGCTGAATTTCAGCTCTCCCACTGCAAATTTAAATTCTGAAATTGCCCTCCAGCTTGCTGTTTGCAAGGGGTTTCTTTTTATGACTGGAAGATCCAATATAATTTAAAATGTTACTTATTCATAAGGGAGGGAAGGTCTAATGTTAAGTAATAATTACAATTATGTAATAATGTATTAAACTCTTTTTATTATTTTTAAATCCTTTGAACACAAAAGCTAACATAGGTTCTGACAGATGAAGTCCATAGAACATCCTCAATCTCCCACTGTAGCATGAAGTGTTTTTTTCCCCCCCATTTCATTTTCATGTGTATTTTTCATGTAGTTTTTGTGACAAAGTTCACTCTGATTCTCAGAAACCACCTCCTTCCCATCTGTGAGCCTCTTGCTGGTCACTATTCACTTTTTAAATGATCTCTTTTCTTTCAATTCCTTTTTCCAGTTCATTTCCAGTAACTGTTATGACGGGGTAGGGACTGAAGGGGAGTCTCATAGGAGTGACAGGGGAAACCCAAAATGTTTGCAAGTTAAAAAAAATTGCTTCTGTGGCTTCCTATTTTCTGAACTGACTGATCAAGGAATGGGTTGCTTAGCAGTTTGTTTCTGAATTAATTCTGTTTTCATTAAAAAAATACATTCCACGAATCCACAGTTGGAGTTATAGAAAGATATTAAAATAGGAAATTGCTTCTTTAATCACCTAAATTAAATAACTAGCAGAGTAACACTTCAGGAGTGACTTTGGAAGTGTAGTAATTACCTCTTTTACTATAGCTATTTTAAAGTAATTTATTTTGCAATTTCTGTTTGTGAATGTTCTGCAATAACTACTAGTTGCCAGTTTTCCTGTATAGGCAAGTCTACATATATTTGACAGCAGTTTCTGAAACTGATAGCTTTAAAAATTTTATTGTGGATAAATGAAGACTGTGTTTTCAAAACCAGTCTTTCAAGACTGATATTTTTTGAGGAGAACTAGGGCTGATTTTCAACTAGTTGAAAATCGTTTTATTCTGTATTTCAATTTTCTATGCAATAAGCAGGATAATGATCATAAGAAAGGATACAGGGATAAACTAAAAATATATATTTGTACTAACTCGGTCCTTGTGTTAATTGCAAAATTGATTCTGTAAATGTTCATAGTAAATATAAGTTACATTGCTTGACTTAGCTTTTGATTTTACATAAATGTATCTTCCTAATAGTCTGGTTTGAGTTTTGGCAGTCAAAAGAAAATCACACTGACCTGTATTTGTTATACTAGTCGGGTCTTTTGAAGTTTGAACAGATATTTTATGTTGAACTGTGAAAGTTACTTTTCTTCTCCTTCTCTTTAAAGCCAGAGGCGAGGAAGAAAATATATGTCCAGACTCAAGGTGAGAGTTTTGAAATGCTCAGTAAGGCATTCAATGGATTGGAATCGTGTTTAGTACCTGTATGTTTATGTGTCTGCCTTCTTTGCCCCAGAAATATTTTGCTGAAGTGGGTGTGGGGTTTGAAGTCCTGACTCCTCTGGAGTTGAGCTTTTTGCCGTTGATATTCAGGCAGTATTTGGGGCTCAGCCTAAATTTTCAACTCAGTGCTTTTAAAAAAAACTTTCCCAGATGCCTTACAGCAGGAATTGAAAAATTAGGTGACACCTAAGGTAACACTGAGCTATTTCCAAAGTCTACAGGAGTTTTTATGCTGAATAATTATTCTCTGAAACTCCAAATTCCTTTAAATGCTTTGAATTTCCCACATAATGACACCCCACAAATGTCTAATCCAAAGTGTATTAATTCAGTGATTAGTCTAGGGAACAGTCAACTCAGTATTTTAGGTGTGATTACTTAAGCTGCAGCTTCTAATTTTATTTATCTAAAAATAACTCTCTGTGGATTCCAAAATTCATTCCATTTTGCATATTTCACTTTCAAAGAAAAGAAAATTCTTTTCAAAACTCTAATGTTGAAATAATTCATTGTGAAGCCTATTTAGCCCATGTTTAGTCTGTATTTAAGCCTCCTGTGAGGTAATAATTAACCTAGAGATTAAATCTTTTATGTTAAGGACTTTGGGTCTCAGCCTGCCCTGTGTCTGTTTGGGAGTAATGTGCTCCCTCTGATGATGTTGTCTCACATGTAGATTTTAAAAGGCCAAATTTAGCATGGTTGGGTTGCTAAAGAAGTTCATGTACTGTGTGATTGTGCAAAAATTCCAGCTGAATTTCAGTCTGATGCCCATGGAAGGATTGTACAGGCAACCTGGCAAGGTTGGGATGAGAAAAGCTCGGGATGGGAACAGCTGTGTATGGAATTCAGTGTGCTTGACAGAAATACTGTTTTCTTAGACCTGAAGGCTTCAAGAACCACAGTTCAGCCACCCAGGGGTCATCAAATATATGACTTGTCTTTTTTTGTAACACAGGAATTAAGACAACCCCCAGTGAAACATTTGACTGGTACAGATTTCTAGAACGTGCAGGTAAAATTCACTTTTTTCTGTGTCCACTGTATTTATTCTTAGTAGGTGTCAAGGATGACAGAAACTTAGAATGTAAAGTTTAACTAATTTTGTAATAGAATGGACTTAATCATATGAAAAATGGCAGAATATCAATCAGGATTAATCTGGTCAGTAAACTGCCCAGACTACCTCCAAATTTCTGGTCTGGCCAGGGTTAAACTGCACCAAAAATGGTCACAACATATGGGTCAGTGTCCCTTAAAGGTTAACTTAAACCAAAGCATCAATACCTGAGCATGAGGTGCTTTATCTGTGGGATAGAAACTGGGGATACCACTTGCAGAAGAGAGGGTGAGGTGACAAACTGCTGAAAAAGGGAAGTGTGTGTTGATGTTTTATAATTTGGTCTTGGTCTAGAGCCTGTCTCTGTTCTCACCAAAGTAATGGTGTGTAAAGCACATGTCCTAATTTAAACCACCTGATCTGGGCAATTCTTTAATTGCTTCAGCTGCCTTTCCCCCAAAAGAATAATTTATAGGCATTTTCCTGTGGTAAAAATGTTTCAATATTATATTCATCACTCTGATCTCTGATAGTACAGCTGTTCCCTCTGTTACAAATGAATCCTCACCAGTCAATGGCATTATCACACCAGTAACTGGGTGCCATTAGTCAAAGCCAGTGTCAATTTTAAATTGAGCAGTGTGAGGGTATTTTGTTCTCAGTAAATCACAGCACACAAGCACAGTGCCACTAAGATTAATAATTTTCTGAAGTGAAATGATTTGTCACTTTCTAGCTCAGCCTTAGTGTTGATTTGATCTCTTGTCCAACCGTTTTATGATTAAATGAGCAGTCAACAGATTGAGGAGGGGGAAGCTCCCCCTGAAGTGAATTTCTAATATATTAGAGACAGTTTTTTGCCTAATGTGTACTAATGCAAAAGTGCAAAATAATTCATAAAGTACATGAAAAGCAAACTAAAATGTGACTCTAACATCTGTGCCTCTTAAATAATAACTTGAAAACTGGCATCAGATTATTCAGTATTGGTTTTATGGACTGTTTCATCTCATTTATCTTCTCAGCCTTGTCTCTGTGTCCATCTCTGGTGGCAGCCTCCACTTTCCACTTCTTTTAATATTGCACATGGAAGCAAGTTTTTTTTTTTTTTGGCTGTACCTTTGCACTTTCCATGGACTAATTAGGATTTCCCACTGAATTGCTTTTCTGGGGATTTGCAGTTTCAAAGGGTTTAAAATTCTACTAAACTTGGAGCAATCAGTAGAAAACTATCAAAAATAGAAGGCAGTTTTGCTCAGAAGAATGTGATGTTGATAGTGTGGGCTTGCACAATGAAGTGCATTTGAGAACATCTCGAGCTTTTATGCAGATAAAACTGTCCAATCTTGTTCAACTCATGGCATTTATGATCTCTTTTTTAAGACTTTTTTCATGAAGTTCTATTCCATACCTGAAGGCACTTAATGATTTTTTGGGGGGGAGATATTTCTCCTGATAACTCCTGCCTGTATCTTTAGCAGTATCCTCCAAGATCTGTCAAATTCAGGATTCCCAGGCCTGAATGTAAAGAAAGAGCACATGCCCTACAGTGGAAATTATAATCCATTTGAGGCATCACTGTTAAACATCCTTGGTGTTCAGGCCATATATTGTCAAGTTACTCCTTCAAATGGAACAGGCTCTTCAGAATCCTTCGAGGCTTTTTTCCATAGGACACACTTCTTATGAATATTTTTTGTACTGATTTTTTTTCAGTCATAGGAAACATATGCTCGTGTCAAATATAACACCAGTACATAAACAGATTTAAGTGAGTGGCAGAATGCATCACATACATTTTACAATGGGACACTTCCAGCCCCCAAATGTGGCTGGTACTGAACCAAAATCTAAGGAATCCCAGATTTTTGTACATTCCCTTTGATAGTTTGGGTATAACATAAAGAGCAGTTGCCTCACACAAATGGAAACAGTGCTGTTGGAAGGGGTTTTTTTTCACGTTATTACAGGTGCAGAACAATCTCAGTACAAAAATCATAGGATTAGTATTATTTTCATAATCTCAGCAGTAGAGCTGCAGAGGTGATGCTGGTGTTGTGTTAGTTTCTATCTGTTAGCTGCAGTATTTTCAGTGGCTGGTTACTAACATTTATTGGCTAAACCTACAAAAAATAAAGGCTTTTAAATTTAATTGGCACTCTGGTTAGTGGTCAGTGTCGCAGCTTATGTTGAGGAGAGACTGCAAGCAGCAGTAGTCAAACCAAAAAGCTGCACCAAGTGCAGACTTCAACACAGACTTCAAGAAAACAACATTTTCAGTATATTTAGTACCTCAGACTATTTAAGGAAGTATTACTGCCTGTGTCAGTCTGGAGATCAGACCAGATGATCAAAATGTTTTTCTCTGACCTTACAATACAGGAATCTCTATGCAGCATAATCAGGTTGATGGCAATTTTAGAAGCCTATCTATAGACTTGAGAGAGCCAGTGAAATTTCAGGCTTTTGCTGTAAATTGATTGACAGAAAATGACAGGAGAGTCTAAGAAAATGTGAAACCTGAGGCTGATCTTCTCTAACAGCTCAGCTCAAGGATGGAGCAGAGCTGCCTGAGATCAGAGACAGGCTTGATGGCATCATCCTGGGATGAAAAGCTCCTTTTGATTTCAGTGGAATGTGGCTGAAGCTTGGAAGATGTAGACCCTAATAAACACTTAGGCATCATGTGATTAGATGTGGATAACTAAGAATTCCAAACTAATGAACTGAGAAAACCCATTTACCCAATAGATAAGACTTAAAACTGGTTTCATGGAAGGTGACATAGTATGATGGAATCACATGCTGATTGCAGCATCAAATACAATATGCAACATGCTCTTGTAGTTTGATTTTTCTGCTCTCTTGTAATTTCTGTTTCATAGCACAGCTATTTTCAGAGCTGGAAAAGTTTACATAACCTGCCATGACCAGACAGAGGCATTATATTTTCCTAAAGCTGTGCTGGAAAGAAAGACCCACATAAGAAAAACTACATAGTAAAAGTTTGTGCAGATATGTAGCTGACCATAGTAAAAAATTGTATGATAGCAGCCATGAACTGGGTTCCCTAACTGATCTGAAACCATAGGGCTTTTTTGTTGTCTGATCTCTTAGAAATAATGAGAAACAGGAAAAAAAGGATTGATTTGAGAATTTTGCAGTCTAATTTTTCTGGGTTAGTAGCTTGCCCCTGGAAGTTTACAGGTTCATTTAATTTCTCCTGTCTTCACAAACATATCAGCAACTCTAGCAATTATTCACTATTGACTGTGAATAGCAGTGTAAACACTTCAGATAAAGTTATTGCCTCCGCTTCCCCTTAGTTTCTGAGAAACAAATTGCTTTGTAAAATAAAAGCTCAACTTCATGACACGGTAATAAATGTTTGAGATCTGCAGGTGGTAAAGTATGTTGCTGAAATAAGGACTAATTGGGCTAATAATTGTCAAACCTCTGTGCCATCAGTGGCTTCAATTAAGCTTCAGAGTCAATATAAAGCAAGAGAGCCTGTCAAAGCTGAACTGCAGTGGGACAGCACCATGTCAAACAAGCTGGAAAACTTGGCTTGGTTCTAATATTTGACTCATGAAAGAGATACAAAATCAAACTCTTGGTGCCAAGAGACTAAAAGAGCTAATACGTGGTATTTCTGCTGTGTGTAGGGAGATGAACTTCAGAAAAAGCTATCAATGGAAAGATTTAGAGTATCAAAGATTCATGCCAGAGTTGGACAAGTTTATCCATGTTTCAAACTCAAGAAAATAAAATCACCATCTTAGAGACTGAAATTTCAGCAATAAACCTGTGGATTTCCTTTTCTAGGAGATCAGTCAATACTTTCAGATGCTCAGGAGGTGGATAAATGAAATATTTTCAAGAGGAGTAAGAGACCTGCTGGGGTTCAAAGTGAACAGACAGCAAAATGAGAAAGGGTGTTTACCCTCACCATCTCATCATGGCTTAGATTTTGTTTCTGCCCAAAACCAAAAATGGATGACTAAGCCCAAATAATATGGACTTAATGTTGCTCTCTGAAGGTCTGTAGAACACAACAGTGGACTGAAATCAGGGGTTGGAAAATTAATTTTTAAATCTGCTTCTTTACCTCTCAGCAAGATAATACTTGATATTATTCATTCACTTAGAGGCCTGCAGCTTTCAGTAAGATTAAAGATTTGCAGGAAGACATTTATTTTTATTGCACATCTGTGACTACTACATTTTTTTCCCGATGGGACCTAAAGGGATGGAGTTAAATGAATCTACTCTTGCAAAATCTGTTTGGATAACACTTGTACTTATTCTTGCCTTTCTTAGGAAAACAGTGTTCTTACTAATGCTTCAGAAATTATTTAGGCTTTTGTGTTAGCTGTCTGTGTTCATGTTTTGCTATCCTGGCATCTAAGTGCAAGTGTTTAAAATGGCCAAAGTGTAAACTATCATAGAGTGTTATAATTCTCTTCTCCCAAGTAACAAGCGATAGGACAAGAGGAAATGGCCTCAAGTTGTGCCAGGGGAGGTTTAGGTTGGATACAAGGAAAAACTTCTTCACCTAAAGGGCTGTCAAGCCCTGAAACAGGCTGCCCAGGGCAGTGATGGAGTGACCATCCCTGGAGGTATTTAAAAGATGTGTAGATGTGGCTCTTGAGGACAGGGTTTGGGGGTGGGCTTGGCAGTGCTGGGGTAATGGTTGGACTCAGTGGTCTTAGAGGGCTTTTCCAACCTAAATGATTCCATGATTCTGTGTAAAATAGTTGCTAAGACAAACAGTTGGATTATGAAAATGTTTTCCTGTTTTCCACTTTTGATGTACTCCGTTCTCTCACTGTCTTGCATCAGAACAGCTTCCCAAGAGTTAAACCCAGTCTCACTGCTTTATGTCAAGCAATTATTAAACCTGCTTGCAGGTGAATGGGTAAGTCTGGATGGATAAGTCTAGATTTGACAAACTTTCTCTAGGCCACACTGTGACTCAGAATCAGTGTCAGCAGGAGAACATGAATCCTGAGCATTAATCACATTTCATCTACCAACCAATATATTTTGTGTGCTGTCAACAAACCCACTGGCACAGCAGTTGGACACCCTTTGGTCATGCAATTGCACTCTGAAATTTTCAGAGCCAGGGCTGGGTTGCTGTGTTTCAATTTTGAGCAGCAGGACACCACCTCTGGCCCCCATGGGGCAGGAGCTGCCTGACCGTGGGAGCTCCACGTTGATCGCTGTCCTTTCGTCTCCCGCGGTTCCTCTGGGACATCCCTGTGGTCCTGTGGGACAAACTGGGACAGCACAGGAGAGGAATGGGGCTGCACACTCCTATCAGTCACTGTCCTTTTTTGACCTCTCACATCTGGTGACCTGCTAAGCAGGCTCAAGGCTTGCTGTGGCTGGTTTTTAGAGCTGAAGCCGATGTAAGAAATCAGACTGCAGACAAACACTGACAACACGTTTAAAGGAGCATCTCCTACTGACTTTAAACAGCTATTTTTGACACTGACAGAGATGTTGATTAGGGTGGCAGGGTTTTACTTGCACTTAGTGTAGAGTGATTCTGAAGGATGGCTGGAAAACATCCACCATGCAGTCTTTTTGCCTTTTTTTTTCTTTTTTTTTTTAAACCAGGGATTATGCAGAAATCTTTCCGTTTTGTGTTTCTTTGTTAAGCAAACAGAAAGGTACATGAGGGAAGAGGTAATGAAACACAGTGTGCTGTTGGAAATCTTGGCTTCTGTATCACTAACAGAAACGGGGAGAAACAGACACAAAGATCTGTTTGTTTTTTGGGTGTTCACCTGTCAGTCAAACAAGGCAGTGACACGGTGGATGTATCAGAAGAGCACATCAGTAGATTGTGCCATATTGATGTGCTTCCATGTCAGAATCACACAAGGTGGTAGTATTTTGTTCCAGATTAAGCAGCAAAAGGCAGAATGATAGCAAAAAGTCACATAGTGAAAGGCTTGTCCGAGCTCAAGGAAGAAATAAAAATGTCTTGTTTCAAAAACCAGTTTTCGCCCAGCTGATGGCTATAGCTGGTAAAGGCACCTATTGCACTTCTTCTCTTCATATGTTCCCCTGTTCAGCATTTTTGAGAGGACAAAGTGTACTGAAGTGATTTCAGACTTGTACAAATGGCTGTTTGTTGGGGTGTTTTTCCCAGCAGGGTTGGGAGCAAGGATTGAGAAAGCCACAGGTGGGGAAAAAACACCGATGCAGGGGCAGCTTGATGTGAGAATTTAACCAGAAAGCAAACAAGTTACACAAGTGCTGCTGAGGTTTGATCTTAAGTAGGCAGAGAATGAGCAAACTCCCAGCACTGTAAGCAGGTAATGCAGCCTTCTCAGGGATGGTTTATGTGCTTTGAGTGGACTGAGTGGGGAAAGTCTGCCTGCAAAAATGGATTAGGTGATGGCTAAGACCTACAGCAGACAATGAAATAAAACTACAGCAGGTTCTCCCTTCTCTACATCGAGTGGCAGAGGCAAATCCTTTTTGACTAACCCTTTTATGACAATTTTTAGAAATGCCTTGTAGGATCCAGTCTGGAGTCCAGTGTACCCAAGAGATGCTGTTTCAGAGAAAAGTGCATAACATTTCCTGGTAGACAAGTAAGGCTTGTAAAATTGCATCATGAAGGGGATACTCTGCTGTGAGAGTGGTGAATGCCTTTTCAAAATAATAGAGGTCAACTGAGTGAGCTACTTGCATTAATAAATATTATTTTAGGTAATATCACACGTGAAATTAGACTGTTATTGATGAGGAGTACCTTTGAATGGCACAGGAATGGAATGGAAAAATCTGAATGCCTGTGGGGCCAGTGTCCTGTTTCTCTTTTGGGTGAAGGTTTTCATACAGGGCAGAATGGCAGTCAGGACTGCACAGAACTGGTCTATTAGGGCTTTTAACCTTTATCTCATAAAATTAAAAGGCTGAAAGCTTTAAGACAGAAACAAAAAGATGTTAAGAGATAAAAAGAAGCAGTTAGTTGGAGAGTAAAATCCCACAGTCTCTATGTGACAACAGGAAGATCGGATTTCTCACTCCTGTCTGACTGAGCTTCCAGCATTAACTTTAAGTTTTATTCCTAAATAACCAGAGTTCAACATCAGCAGATGGGAGTTCATAATTTAAAATGAAGATTTGTGCCTTATGGATAGTTAAAATGCAGTCTGAATTTTGCTAACACTTTTTAGTAATTTGTTTTGTGTGAGTTTATGTCATAAATTGAAAACACTGCTGCATGTCTTAAAACCAAACAGTATTAATGGCCCATTGCACCAGAAGAATGGCTTTTTCAATCCAAATGTTTATGTATTATAAATTACAAATTATTTCTTGGTCCAATAACCTGTAAAATGTTATTTACTATGTCTGCTGCAGACACTTTTGACAATTCAAGTTATTTAAGTTGAATGAAGCAGACTCAGTAATGAACAGGACTGTGACAGGGAGAATTTAAACGTTCCTAAACTGGATTTTAAATTTAAAAGCAGTAGCTTTCTGACCATGCAAACAGAGCCTTGATGTCCCACAAACTGCCTGCTGCTGAAGAGCAGCAGTTTGATGCTCCTTGAAGAACTGCCTGTGTTGGGTAATACAAGTCTCCCATCCTTGCCACGAGCTCAGTGAGTAGGTGAACTGAAGGACAGCAAACTGATTTGTTCAGTACAATAAATCAAATATGAACATTTCAGCCCCTCTAGTGTTCATTAAATTATGTCGTGGTTATTTCTGTTCATTCAGCAATTTTTGAATTATGTTGTTTTATCATAAACACATTTTACCAAAGTTCATCACCTAGTGACCCTTCTCCAGAAGCAGCTTCTAAATTAATTGTGCTGTCATAGAGCCAGTGGCAACTGCAATGTCATACATCAGATCTTCTTTTTTTAATATAGCCTACACAATTATTTTGTGGGTTGTTGCTGTGTATTTGCAAGGGAGATTTTTCAATGTTAAAAGCTCCCGTGTTGAGGGTTTTTTCCCCCCCCAAGTTATCTTTTCATTTTTGTCTTAGCAATTAGTTAAAAATAAATGCTTTGCAATAATTTAACTTCTAGTTAACTATTCTGTAGCAATGCTGACATACTGGGGATGGAGAACTATGGGACATTACCTGCTCTTTAACAACAAAAAGTGCAGGATCCAGAGCTCTAAGCCCTGCAGCCATTGATTACCTAAACCTCACAATCTCCTTGAAATAGGAGGTGAGTTATTATATGGATGCACATTTATTTTACTTATGGGTAGAAATATTGATAAACACAGAGAGTTGTTTAGTTGCCAGGTCAGTCAAAGCTGGAATTTGGTGTCCAGGAATACCAGCCAGCAGATTTTTCTCCAAGTTCTGCACATTCCTTGCCTCTGGCAATAAACTCCCTATAAAATTATGTTCTCCATTGGGATGATCTGAGGATTGATGCAAGAGCAAGAACCAGAGGGAACAATAATGGCAATTTTTCAGAATCCACCCCGTTTCTGCTCATTCTCTGTTGTGTGCTCATTCATGGAACAGTTTGGAGTGTTCAGCTTTTTTATCTGCATTCAGACTTTTAAAATTATTTGTTGCAGACATTCCTGCAGATACAGACCGTTTACATCTGTTTCTTTTGATATGTGGACTTCGAAGAGTAAAAGACCCTCTCTATTTAGTAGAAGTTTTTTCTGGTAAGTTCTGGCTATTTGAATACCCAGTTTTGTTTTGTCACTGCATTCAGACACATTTCTTTTATGTTTGTAAGTTTGGGCTGGTTTATTCGTTGCAGAAAACTTCATGATATATTTACATTTGAAAAAAAAAGAAATTCTTACGTAACCATTGATCTGTCCAACACATTATTTCTGTGCTGCTGTCTTTTCCATCCTGCTGGGAATAACAGAGCATTGAAATCAAAGCAATATCTACTGTTTTTATTTGCTGAGAAAACTGTTTTGCTGTTACGTGCAATATTGATGGGAGACAAAAGAAAAGATCACCTGCTCTTCAAAATAACTTTTTTTATCTTGCTGTCCTGTGGCTGTTACATTGATTTGCATGTGTGCTAATTAATGTTATTGAAGTTGCAAACAAATTGTACCACCCATTGTTCTGGCTCATCACTGTAAACTGGGCTGAATTTTTCTCAGACTCACATAAGGGAAAGTTTTGCCAGGTTCTGTTTGTGTCTGTAACAGTTCAAGTGTTCCAAGTTGGAAATTTAACCTGCATTATTCAACTTAATTTTATAAACCTTTAAAATCTTGTGATGCTGAGTAACTGATGTAGTTTATTCAAGTAATTGGTGTTGAAAGGGCAGCAGATTTCTCTTGTTCATATATAATTGAGTAGCCATTGTGATGGTTGCAGTTACTTCCACTTGTTCCTTTACATAGGAAAAAATTCAAATAAGTTTGGCTTAGTGGTCAGAATCACTGCATTATACGGAGCATTGTTCTCTTGAGTGATTCAAAATTAATATCTGACTTTAGTTAAATAACCCTTGAGTTTATAAGAGATCACATACAGCAGAAAGGCTAAATAGTATCTTTCAGATATGCTAATATTTGAATTATGAGGAGTGTGTGAGGGCTGAGCATGAAATCTGGTGCATGTTCAGTCTTTTCAGTAGTAATACAATATTTGCCCAATTCTTCTTTATTCATGCAGCTATTTACAGTGATTGCAGAGAAATAATTAAATTAAAGAAGTAATAATTTGGATTGATAAAAAAGTTGTTGCTCTTCTCTTTTAGATTGGCACAGAAAGGATCCCAGTGTCCATCTGGGCATTATTGGACCTGCAGTAAGTTGTCATTGTAATTTTTGTTTTGCTTGTATGCTTATTTCTAAATACTTCCATTTACTTGCATCTGAGATATCCTAATAATTCTTTAGAAAGTGAACCTAAGGCAGAGGACTTGTAACTTTCATGGAGATAAGAAGGTGCAAATTTAGCAGCTCACAAAAGGTCTAAACTCTGGAAGGGGAAGCAATTCCAGTGCCCGGATGACTTGATAGTGGCAGTAATCTATTATGGTCTCTGAGACTGTTGGAACAAAACATTCAGTGTTTAATTTGATTACAGAAAGAAGTTCTGAAAATAGAGAGCATCAAAATATTTGGATTCTAACATTGGCTTCTGTTTTCATACCTGTGGGATTTCAGACCATCACAAACCACTAAAAATGCGTACTTCTGCAAATAAAATATTAGAAATGCCTATTTCAGTGTCAGTAATTAATAAATGAGCCTATCAAATAATTTGAAAGGCAGTAGTTGCTACCTAGATGACTTTTTTTCACAGGTATTGCTAATGAGGGGGTTTATTTCTGTGCAGGTGATTCAGGTGCTCGTTATCCCTGTTCTTACATCTTTCCTTCACGTGGAGAATTGGTCTTTGGGCCATTCCATCTAGACTTTGATGCCATTTCTGGCAGCCTCGATTCAAACACAATTAACAGTTGTCAGCAGGTGCAAAGTGATGTTTGGGTTCTGTCTGACACCCAACAGCGAGGACAGAGCTGACAAATAAAACTGGTGGAATCGCAGTGCACTAAAGACTGGGATGAACTGAGCTGTTCTTATACATCCACATAGAATAATCTCAAAGTTGGTGTCTCTGTCCTGCTTCTTCTGCTTCTGGTATGTTGCCTGTGTCAAGGGCAACAAATTTGCTTTATGCCAAACTTACAAAACTAATTGCAGGACCTTTGATAAGGAAATCAGTGCTTGAAAAGGCAGCCTGTAGCCATCGTTTAACCAGTGGAAAAGGTCTGAGGAAGCATCTGTGTCACATGAAACAAACTCTCACTGATGCTCCAAGGGTACTAAAAGCTTCACTGTTTCATCTGGGTAATGTGTTCTCTCTGTATAAGTCTCATCTCTGATTTACATGAGCCTGGAAACTTGCTAGCTGTTTGTTTTATAAGAAAATAAATAGACTTTGAATAGTTGAATAAGGACTGTTTTTCTGTTTTCTCATCCAATTTTATTCTTTGTAAATTTTGGGACTCAGGATTTTATTCTTAAAAGATATTTTTACCTTTTTATTCTCTCTGCCTTTTTTTCCACGCTAATACACAAAATGATTTGGAAGTGAACTGGTGTGGAAGGCAAATCCAGAGCAGGTGTAATGAAGCTGTGCTTTAGAATCCAAAGATGCACTTGCTGCCTCCAGTGAGGAATTTAAACATTTTAGTCGTCTTTTTAAATTTGCTTCACTTTTTCATAAGCTGATTTCTTTACAGGAAGCTACCAGAAATAACCCTGTGGCAGTGCACAGGCAAGGACTGAACCTCCTTAAAACATTTTAAAACATATTTCTCCCATAGTGCTAAAATATTGCTAAAGGATGAAAATAGTTCTCAGCTCTATTGGTGTTTAGCTGTACTTTTCCTATTCATGTTACTTCTCAAACCACAAAAACCTTAAGAAAATCAGTGCCATTATCTATGAAGCATATAATCTTTATTGTGAATATTAAAAAACCACACATTAAGATTATATTAATTAAGAATAGAAAGAACAAAGGCCCACATACTATTTTCTGCCTGGCTTCCATAAGATTATATATTTGCTTCCATAAGATTATATATTATTTCCTGCATTTTCTATGCAGGATTGTCTCCAATAGTGCAATCCAGGTAATGTTGTAGGGTTGGGTCCTGTGTAATGTAAAATTTTTAGCATTTGTCTTCACTTCCAGTTTTCCTTTTGTTCGTTTCTGTACTGAATTTTGGAACAGTAGTTAATTTTCAGCAGCTCTGTATTCCAAAAATAGGAGCTTATGAAACTTTAAAGAAAGTTAAGGCCACAAAACTTGTGTTCAGCTGCTGGGTGACCCCTCAGAGCCCTCTCTGCCTATTTCTTAGCTATCCTTGTAGATATACAGAACATTGCTGTGTTTGCAATGATACTCTTTTCCACTGATAGCTATTTTTCTTCTGTCCAACTTGTTTCCATGCCTGTTGTGGCAGTTTTAGGTGAATAAGTGCCTCCACAGATGGAGGGATGTAGCCCGTCTCAACCTACTGTATGTTCTCTGGGCTGGTTTTAAAATAAAACAGTTGTTAACTAAACTAAGCCACTAGAGAAAGTCTAATTCCCTGCTCCAGAATATCCTAGAGCACAGTAATTAGGAAGATCAGACAGGAGACAAAGTTATAATTTCAAATTCCTTATCCTGCTGAGGAATATGAAATTCTGCCAGCTCCATCCTGAATAAGTGTCCTACTCACTGAGACATTTTTTAACAGGTAAGAGCTAATGCTACCATTTAGCTGCCAACTCCTCTAACCCTTTGTTAGAAATAGTAAAATGAGCTGTTCCAGTATTTCTTAAAAAGGTTATTTATTTTTCTTTTAGACCTGAAGTTTTGTTAATTTAAGTCCTAGTTGCTGAATTGTTTCGGCTGAACTAAAACTCTGGTTTTTTTGTTGTCAATTGTTCCAAATTGCAAAATACACATTAAGCCAGAAGACACTGAATTTCCTGAAGCATTTAGTATAGGGAAAAGGTGATGTAGAATGGCTGTGTTTAGGGTGTTGACAAGGATGTGCTGTTTTTGAAGGTGCATTTGCTGCAGGCAGGTTGTGTTTGCAGTTCTAGGGGAAGCTTGGTCTTGTTGAGCCTTTTCAACAATCAATCAGATAAACATTGTAGTGTGGGGTCACCTGCTGCTGTGAGAAAAGGTGATTCCTTGCCCAGTGATGTTGCCAAAACCTCACAATCCCAAGAAACTGAGCAAATCCTTCCTCTCTGTCTTGAACATGTTACAGGTTCCTCAAGCTCTTCACTCTTACTTCTCTGGGCAATATTCTGACAGAACTTTCAGTGTACTAAGACCTGGTTTTGCCTTCAAAGTCTGGAGTCCCAGCATTACAAAGAAGATGTTCCTGGTCCATTATTTCTGTCTGAGCTAATTTTTATATGGCAGCATTTGAATGCTGTGTATTTATAAAAGATTTGCTAGGTTTTGATCATGGGAGGCTCTGTGCTTAAGAGGCCCCTTCATCTTCGTGCAGCCTTTGATCTGGGACTTCCTGCACTGTCAAACACACCTCAGATGTTTCTTTGCCTGTCAGCAGAGTAAAACTTCCTTACTGGCATATCTGGACCTGTTCAGTGTGGTTTCCTGCTGTGTGCCCACTCCCTTTCCATGTGTCATCTTATCTCAGCTGTTCTGATGGGAACTGCTCATACAAGGGGAGCTGCTTTCCTCTGATCTCTGATAAACTGATGAAATTTGCAGCTCTTTGAAGGCTGTGCCTCTGGATTGATGATGTTTTAACAAATGCTATAGGTAACTGATGATCATGTTTGCCTGCTAACAAAATAAAATGTGGCAACAAACGCTCCCTGTAGAAAAAGTGGATGACGGAGACAAACTGGGTGGAAATAAAATTCTTTTCAGTAGCTTTTTCAGAGCCTGTGCTGAGTTCCTCGGCATCCTGCCATAGCCACTTGGCTTTGGAAAGTGTTCACATCTTCTGAGTGCTTTTCCAACTTGCTGAACAGCTTATGTTGTATCTAATTGCTGTTATATTGAGCCTGTGGTTAGGTAACTGTGCCCCCTCAAATTCCTAAATGCAGCTCAGGGGGATCACTTCTCCAAGTCGTCGCTACACCCGTCCTGAAAGTCATATTTTAACTGAATTCTCATACTCTGGCCAGGATTCTTGGAATATTTACCAGTAGAAGAATACAGCTTAAAGGATTGCTCTGTCTGTGAGGCAGATGGCAACTTCTTGGCTTCCACTGAAGGAGACAGAATAGGAATTAATGTCATACAAATTTTATGAGTCACAGGCTGTAGTTTTTCTGATCCTTCTAAAGGTACAAGAACAAAAGACCAAATTCCACTGCTCCTCAAATCACTTGCAAGTGCTCCATCGATTTTAATGGAAATAGAGTGGAGTTCCTCATGAGAGGAACTCAGCATCAAAATGGAACTTTGGGGGAAAAGCTGAAAATATATTTAGACAGAAATAGCAATTGTGAAGTTCACTATGAAATATCCAAGGAACCTGTGGCAGGACATACTGGTTTATTCTGTGCATCTATAGATCCATACTCTGCTGCCAGGATCAGGTAGTGCTTCAGGAAAGGGCACCTGAGTTTTTTCCCCTGCTGTTACCAAAAATACTTTTTGAAGCTGTTATGCAAGCCTTTTATTTTTTTGTATTCAGTGGGAAATCATTCCTTAGTGCAAGTGATTCACTTGAATCTTTTAATTTAGGAAGCCCCGTTTTCTTGAAATAATTAATCTCATGTTCAAAATACACAATCGTAGTTATAAAATAAATTCTGGCTTTTTACCAAAAGAGTTTTCTAAAATGCTTTGTGAGTGCTGTCTGTCTCATAATCTGGAAAAAAAAGCCAACCAAACCCAAAATATTAACATATATTTAAAAAAAAGTCGTTCCCAGTCTTACAACTGCTGCAAGCTAACATATATTACTCTAATGTAATCAGTCAGCGTTAATAAAGTCTAGTTTCCTTCTTCACGTCTACTTAAGGATTTTCAAGTTCTGTTTGTTTCTTTTAATCATGTTAAATGAAAATAGCAGATGTAGTTAAGCTTTGTAAATAAACCTACTGGAGTTAATTGCCCAGCTTAGACAACTTTTTAATGTTTTACTGTGTTTTAGAATTCAGGGTTTATTAGTTTCCAAACAACTGTTTCTGTCAGGGCGTAGCATTTATTGTTATAACATTGTCTCAGTTTACATCCAGATTGCTTCCTGAGTTAACTAAAGCCTGGAAGGTTCCTTCCCTTCCTCTCATTTCTTACTCCTTGCACAGTGGGACAGTCACTTGGCACATCAGTGAGTTGTCAGAGTCATCTGAGAACAGTCATGTTAAATAGATCCAGCTCTGCTTGGAACAGCAGCCAGAGGGATGTCAGGGGAGACAGACAGACAGACAGACAGACAGACAGACTCTCCCTGCCAGCAGCAGCCCAAAGCTGAGCTGAGGAGTCACCCAAAGGTGCAGAGGGAGGTGTCAATCCACACTGGGCTGGGCTGGGCATTCCACGTGTCACTCACTCACCAGAGGGTTGGTTTGAAGACTCAAACGTAACCACCCAGTTACAGGTCCGTGGTGCGGTTTTAAACCTCGGCACATCCACCCCTTTAAATATCTGAGTTAAAAGATGTGCTAGAATTTATTTTCCTTTTCCGGGTATTTCAAACACCGTCCTTAAAATGGTGCCGTGTTCCTCCCTGTGTGCTCCTTTCTAGGTGGATCCGCTTTTCACAAGGGAAGTTAAGGAAAAAGTTAAAAGGTAAGAAGTTAATATTAAACCTTCTGTTTGTTGAAGGGAAGCAGTTGGCTGCCCAGCTTTTAAAATCGTGTCTGTCCAAATGAACACACACGCCCAGCTCGCTGTGTGAGAACCAGACTGTCAGAGCCCCTTCTCAGGAGGGGTCCTGCCCCTGTGCATTTGGTTTCCAGGGCACCTGGAGTCCATTTGTTACAGGAGCTGCCACAGGATGATCTCCACGCTGCTGTGAAGAGGTGCTTTGCCCTGGTGAACAGCTCCACTTCAGAAGGGATGTCTGCTGCAATTCTGGAGGTAACTGCACCTTAGTTGTGAGCTTATTCATGAGGTTACAGTGAATCTGAAATCTTCTTTTGTCACTGGAAATGTGTGTCAACATTTTATGCCCGTTTCAAAGGTAGTGAAGACAAAACTAAAATATTTCTTTTTGCAAGTGTTAGCAATTAACATTTTCTTCCCTTTGAATGACAGTTTTTTATGCTTTGTCTATTTGTTTTTAAAGGGCAGAATGTAATTTTATCAATCCTGTTAAATTAACAATACAGACCTGAGATGTAGAAATCATTCTGATTTACTGGGGTTGTCACTATGCTTGATTCAACATCCACTTCCTTATAATGTTGCTAGAATGGACTTCCATTTATTTTTCCATCCTTTCAAAAAGCAATCTAAGAACTGTATTTGGTTTTTAATTCCAAAATGATTAATGAATGAATGACACGCTCGGTTAATTTTTTTGCCATCAGTATTGAAAATTAATAACCGGTTTTATTTCATACCTGTCAAAGTAGGGCACTACTTAGTGTTAAATGTTTTCTCAGAAAATAATAAGTGTGCTTAAAGTGGAAGTTCTTTGGGCCTTTTACTATTCCATGTATTTTGGTGAATGCTGAACGTTGGTTCATCATAATCTCAGAAGATCACAGAAACAATTCCATCGCTTGTATTAATGAATCTCCTGTTTCTGTTTCTAAGTTGCATTTCCAGCATGCTTTTCTTCCACACAGCTGAAAGTCTTCCTAAGTAGGAACTAAGTGAGCACTGTAAGAATTAGGAAAGCCAGAGGATGGTAAGATAGCAAGTCTGTATTTCCTTTCTGAAATGCCAGTGGCTCAGAGCTGGAAGCAGCTGCTCTTTCACAGCAACAGGACTCTATAACAGCAATTTCTAGACTGTGACATTTCCAAATTTCCCAGCATGGCAGGTGAGACAAACTTTGTGTGTTTGGTAGTTGAGGTGAAATGGAGTTACCAACACAGGGCATGACTGAGCCAGTGACTCGGAGAAGAAGTAGTTAAGGAATTGTCACCTCGTCCTCCCCAGTTACCTGTTCCCCTCAGGAATTCTCACAGAACACCAAAAATCAACCTGATTTGTTTCCAGTGAGTTAAAGAGGGGGAATAAAGCAAACCAGAAAGCCTGAAGAGATGCAGCATCTGCAGCAGAAGTGCAAATGTGCTGGGTCTGATACAAATTGTTATGCAAACTCAGGGCTGACAGGACAATTGGTATAGTTTTTCCTCCAAATTTTCCCATCAGATCTGAGCAGTTAAAAGGCACTTTTCTTAGCTTTTATCAGGAGAGGGAGCAATTTTGTAAGTTCAGTGTCTTAACAATAGGTGGTAACTCAGAGCCAAAAGATAATGCCAGTTTACCTCATAAGTGATGCTGAGCTGCTTCAGGAATCATCAGTTTTTGCTCTCCTCTTTTGCAGTTGCAATTCTTCCAACTTTGGAGTCTGATAACTATAAGACTAAATCAGCAAGGGAACTTTTATTGGGGCCCTCCTCTCTGTGGCTGAACTATTCAGTTATCCCATGAGGGCTATTCAATAGTCAGATACCATCACTGGTGGGAAAGCTGTTCCTTTAAGGTTCCACCTCACAGTTACCTTGAGTCATTTATTCCCCAATTCATACCCAGACCTATCAAAAAGAAAAACAAACAAACAAAAGCACCCCCCAAACCAAACCAACCAAACAAAGCACCCCAAAAAACAACAGAAAATTACTACACAGACAGAATACTAAGCACTTCATGTTATATTTGTCTTCTCTCTCTTGGAATGACAAAACTGTTTTAGCAAAAGGCATCCTCTGCAGGATGCCTTTATATACATTTGCAGTTAGCTTTCTGCATTTTTAATGTTTTTCTTACATTAGAAAAAAGTGTTTATTAGGATGAATCATCAAGAAGTATTACTTTTATTTTTTCATGCTGAATTTATTTATATTATTTATAGGTATTTTATGTGTATATAATAGATTACTTGGGTTTTTATCTCACGTGTAGCTGTGCATTTCACCTCCTAGGCTAGTCTTATTATTAATAGATTTAATTCTGCTGAAGAAACTACCTTTACTAAATACAAAGTTAATCTCTGAGCTGTTAACTCCTAACTGGGAGTTCATCCTGGAAGTCATGGAACAGGGATAACAAAAGCTGGCAAATAAATGAGTTACAGGGGCAGACTGGTACCTTCCATTTTAGGAAGGAAAGTCCAACAGTCATGGCACAGATTTGGTGAGACAGCAGCCCCAGTTCCAGCTGAGTCAGATCTTCTCCAAGCAGAATTAACTCTTTAGTTATCTCTTGAGAAAATACTTGGAGCTTTTTAGCCCCTCAGCCCTGCTAAAGTTATAAGGGTTTGGGATTTGTGTGTCTGTTCACTAGGCAGTGGGACAGTGGGATTTGATGCCGTGCTTATAAAACACCCTGATGTAAAAATCTCTCTCTCAGAGGAAAGTGTCAATCTAATAAAGTGAAGTTTTTTTCTTGAGATGCCCAGCAACAGAAAGGGCCATCTGCTAAGATCTTGTTAAATAATGAGGCAGAAAACTATGTATAAAAATCTCCTGGTCCTAGGCTGGAGATAAAAGGCTTGGCTTTGGAAATGCAACTTTCATTCTCTTCAAAACTCAACATTTAACAAGGTCATGAATCTGTAAACAGTATTTTAGTATGAGATAAATATAAAATAGATAAATTAGATAAATATATAATCATATCTATTTCAACCTGCCTTAAGGTATGAAAGAACTAAAAGCCATAACTAATTATTTTGTCAGCTCGTACTGATATGTCAGAGATTTTGCCATAACTGATCTATTTTCTGTTTGGCATTGGAAGAAGAGAAAACAAACATTATAGCAAACATTAAAAATACATCCCTTCCTCAGAGAGCTCAGGAGTTTTGCACGTTTCTGGGCACATGGTGGTGAAAAGGGAAAGATTTATATGTTCTCTATGTAGCTGGGTAGAAAAAGGTTTAGATTCCAGCACCATTTCACTGGAGCACTTCTTCTGTGCTCTCAAGAGTATTGCAACTGCTGTAACAATCATTAGATTGTTATGCTTTTACCAAAAAGAAACTAATTAAAGAAAAAATTCTACTCTGAGGCAAAAATCCAGTCTTGGAGAACATGTGAAGTACAGACCTAGTAGTTTGGAATAAAAGCCATAGCAAATTATAAAAATAAAAATATAAAAATGAAGGCACGTTGTAAAGCAGTAAAATTGAAGAGCCAACAAAAAGGTGCAGAGGCCAGAAGGAAGAAAATGAGGGCCAATCCAGAAGACAAAGTAGTAAATAAACCCTGTCTTTACTCTCTAAGCCTTATTCTGCTGCCTGGATGTGCTTATTGGGTAACAAGCTTCCCCAGCTAAAATTTACACCCTGCATCCTTCTGCAAGAGCAGTAAAACACATTTGCAGTCAGAATAATGGAACAAAACAGATGGGCAATGGACTGAAATGTTATTTTATGCTATTATTTCTGGAACTTAGGTCAGTAAATTATACATATTTTCAACAATGCAAATGATTCTTTTTACTGCTTAAAAATAGTCTAAGTATCTAAATTAAATTCTAAGCCACTTCATGCAGTAATTATTTACAACCCAATCCATTTGTTTAAGGCTAGCTGGTGTAAAGGCAGCCCAGCATCCAAAGTATTTGGCCATCTGTTCTGTCTTTCAGTAGCTGTAATTCATTGGTACCTGTGTGTTTTGGGACCTGAAAGTTTTCTCGTGTAGCAGTTACTACCCTGCAAGTCCATGAGACAGAAGAAATGTCTTTCCTTTTAGAGTTCAGAAATTACAGAAAATGAAATATAAATTTACTGTTCAACTTCAATCAATCATCAGCAGTGTAGCTTTCAAAACCAGAAGCAAGTGAATATATCTTGAGACAATTTTTAACTGTGTGCTACAGCCCAATCTAACCTGCAGTACAGCAATGCTGTACCAGCAACCTCACCTTTAGGTACAGTTCCCCTTCCTCTTCCCCTTCCCCCTGTATTTCCTCTCACCAAAATGACATTTTAATTTTTTTTTTTTAAAAAGTTGTATCTCAACAACTTCAGTCAGATAAATGCAGAATTTAGTCTGTAGGTTTTTTTTATTTCTAATTTATTCTGCTTTACGTTCACTTCATGAATCTCTCTGAATTACCTCCAGCTAATCCAGTAGTTTCTGATACAAAGTGTAGAACAGGTTATATCATTAAGGATTATTATTATTTTTAGAGCTAACTGCTGCAAAGCAGATGTTTGTGCCAGAAGGACTGTAGAATTGCTATGTCCAGAGTAAATACATCTGAAGTGGTGATTTAAACAGTGTTTTTCTTGGATATTTTAAGTTACTAAAATATGCTGCTACGTCCCAGCAGCCCCTCCCTGTTCAAAACGTAATTGGTCCTGTCCATTATCAGCCAGGATATTTTTGTCTTCAGGTTTGTCCAAGCTATACAAAAGCATCATTTTCTCCTTGGAATTTTGTTTTCTTGCTCTGTAGACTGAAGCAAAATTGCTCTTTATCCAGGAGTGTAATGACAGCAATTAAAAATGCATTCACTCTGGAGTGACATGGAATCAGTATGAGACAGATTGAAGATTTGGGGGAGTGAATTTCTTTCTCATTTGACACTGTGATAATTGTACAATAAGAATATTTCTGCTTTTACAGTCAGTGCATCTCAAGACTTCCCAATTCATCAATAGTAATTAAAGCTTCACATCAGGATATGCATGAGTAACAAGAACTGAGGGGCCAGGGTTTGCACACGAGGTACTTCAAAATCTCAGCTGTATTTTCTCAAGTGGCCAGGCATTAGGTCTCTTGGGAATGGTTCCCTGGCCTGGAATGGATGCTGATTCTGCAGGCAGCTTGAAATGCTGCATGTTGAGACCCCACACTTCCTTTCCTTTCTTTATCCATGCACACATACAAGTACTTTCCTCAGGTGTATTCCCTGGTCTTTGAGGAGTCCCACACCAGTGGCTTTGTAGATCATAAAGCATAAAGTGTTCTGAAAGCATAACCTGTCCTCTCCTCAGTGCAGTTCACTCGGCTGCTGCACCTCTGCGTCCTTCCCTGCAGTCCCTGAGTGCTCGAAGTCCAAGGAAGGTTGTAGTGACAGATGATCTCAAAAGAAAAGCTTTTTCCAGAGCCCTGTATGACCCACAGGAATCAGAATGGAGAAGAAAGTGCAAAGTGACTTCCAGGATCCCCTTCACTGTTGGTGAACTGCCCACATCTCTGGAATTCTGCGTGTTCTAGAAAATCTGTGAAAAATGTGTTTTAATGGAACAAGATAACAGATACTTCGCTTGTTTTTGTGCTATGAAGTAATCTTCTCATCCATGCTCAATAAGGGAAGGAGTTACACTGACAATCTTTGAGCTGAACTTTAATTTTATCTTCCTCAAGCATGCCATATGTTCATGGCTTCCAGTGGGAAACAAACGGCATATTTTGAGGTGGAAAAGAATACCTGAAGAAGCAGCTATGCATTGACTTCCTGCATTGATTGCTTCTGATTATATGTTCAAAGCTACAAGACTGACATAAACAAAATGTTTCAAAGAAGTTCTATATAGGAGATCACCTTAGACGTGGTACTTTTCAGTTAAAAAATTGGAGAGATGGGAATTCGATTTGTTGTTTCTACTTTTCATTTTAAAATTGCTTCCATTAGCACCTCAAAATCCCTGAATCCTTACAAACTCTTGTTTCTTTCTTTTATATTCCCCTAGGCAATGGATTTAGACGTTCCAGTGCTGGCAAGGAACATTCCAGGGAATGCAGCAATAATAAAACATAAGGAAACAGGCCTGCTCTTTTCAAATCCCCAGGTAAGAAAGCAAAGAATCCTTAGACCTCGCCCTTCCAAAGGTGAGGTTTATTTTCTGTCTGTCTGGACACTTGACTTTTCCTCTCAGCAGTTTTTCCTCAGATTCTCTCCCAAATCCTGGATGTCAGTCTGCCTTTCTGAAGCTCTGCTGCCTCTCCTTCATTTGCAGTTCAGTGAACTCGGACTAGGTGTCAGCCTTGCTGAAGGTTTGTGCTGCTCAGACCTGCCAGCAACTTGTTGCACTGGAGCTTGAAGGTTCCATAACCAAACCTCTGGAAGAGATGCTCTGGGTTTGTTGTTTTTTTCCTTTCAAGTAATAAATGAAATGCAGACTCGTGTCAGACAAGCTGTAGCTCACCAGAAGAGACCGAGGAGCCTGAAGTTTTAGATAATATTTTTTCTATAATTTCTAGCCGTTAATATAATGCATCCTTAGGTGCAAGATATTGCTCAGTCAGAAAAATTAATCATGAAAATTAAGTAAAGTGTTAAGACGAAGTTTCTGTGAAGATAAATAAGAGCTGGGGGAGAGGGAACACTACCCATATTTAAATGCTGGAAATTTTCATTTCACTGTGTTTTCCTGCACTGGGGTTTGCTGTTACATATTCATATATGATGTGGAAGACGATGTTCAGACACAGATTCCCTCAGTATTTTATCCAAATCAAGATTAAAAAAAACATACTAGAATAGTCCACTTGATGATTTTGCAAAGTAGAAAATGTATCATATTTATTTACTTTGTGGAGTGTGTGATTAATGCATCCTATTAGGTTGTGTTCCAGGAAGATGAATCCTCTTGGTTAATTTTGGAGGTTTTTCTTGAAAGAAAAATTCTTGCAGTGGTGGTTTTGTTTATTTGTTTGTTTGTTTCTGCAATATTCCATGTTTCCAATGATTTTTACAAAAAAAAAAAAAAGACTTCTTTAATGACTTCTGGAATTTATTATTTTGTGGAAATGTTCCCACTTCTTACAATATCCTTTGGAAATGGGGTACTTCCAGGCTAGTGGAGGTGAAGATGTAAAGCTATTTATAAAATATTTGTACATGTATTCCTTGAAAAAATCCATTGACTCCCATATGTTCCTTCAAAACTTCCAGGACATATGATCCTGTTGAACACAGACTGAGAGCTCTCCTGATATTGATGCTGGGACATTCTGTTGTTTCCCTCAACATGTTGGCTGCATTTGGCTTGAAATTCAAATACATTATTCATACCAGACCCAATTAACTTCATCATACGTTCTTGTAAGCAGCTCTTCTGTGATCTCCAAGCATCCCACATTCCACGTGTTCATTTGGAATTCAGGATCAATTGAAAATATGCTCTATATTTCACGCAGAGGAAAGTGCCCTTTCAAGCACAGGAGTAGTCCCAGTGACATCAGTGACTCTGTACAAATGGCTAAGGACTGAGGGACTGTGTTTGATCTCAGAACTAGAGTCACAGGCTGTAAATGTGTCTTAGTTTCTGTAATCTCAGTTTCTATAAACCCCTTCTGCCCGAGCTCCCATCTCTGCACTGTGCAAGGCCAAAGATCAGAACCCCCCTTGTTGACCCCCTTTTGGCTGTTATTCTGCCTCAGCAGCCCACAGAAGCTCTTTTGGATGAAGATGGTAACTTGCATTACCACATGAACTAGCACACTCCTAGGTAATATTTGTGCTGGAATCAGCAGAGTCTGGGAAGGGAAAGGAATACCCCTGCTTCCTCTGGGAAACAGCAATTGTATCTCAGTTAATAAAATACCTTTATTGCTGTCAAATGGTCTATAAACCAGCAAAGTTTGCAAATGGGTCAGGAAAATATTTGTTTGAAGGATAATGCCCCAATCCCACTGTAGAGTTGTTGAAAAACTTTCTTCTTGCAGAGATGAGCTCCGAATGCCAATCATCATCACTCATGGTTTTAAAGATAAAGTAGCCATTTACTCTTGTTCCTTATCTCCCCAAACCATATCCAATGCAGTTTTTTAAACCACTGCACACAGCCTGTCAGAGGTTAAAAGTTATATGAGATCAAAGAAATGCAATTAAGTCAGAAAAAACTTACAGTGTTGAATTCTGCCACACATTTTAATTGTTGGGAGAAGGAAGGCTCTGCCCATGGCACTTGGAATGCCTTGGAAGATTCCCTCTGGCTGAAAGGGGATTGGAAAACGTGTTCTGGTAAGAAGTTTTTTTTTTTTGATTTAGTTACTCTGATTACTTTGACATCTTAAGCCTCTTTTCTTCTGTGCCCCCAAATGCATCAGGTTGGTGAGGGAAGTGCCTTTAACTACACAGAGGGGTTAGAACTGTGTCCAGGTGCTGGGGAATGTCTGTCTCTGGCTTGAAAAATCTGGACCACCAAAGACTAGAAAAGAAATCTTTGCCTGGTTTGGTGGATCCTTTCTGGTTGTGAAGATACAGGCTGGATCACAGCTCAAGAGTAGAAAGCAGTGCTTATTTTCAAGTTGCTTCTGATCTGAGGAGGGAAAGCTTTACAAAACTGGCTCGCTTAGATCTGAGCAATTGTGCCTGTTATCTTTTGAAAGCTAAATCAGAGGGATATTAATTGACCATTATGCAATGAGAATTGTTTTAAATGGTGAGTGCTGTTGGTTTTCTTCTTTCCTTCTTGTGGAAGTGAGCTTTTGTGGCTTACCGGAAAGCAAGAAATGTTGGGTCTAACTGTAATCGTGGTTAACCATTTGCATTTGACTGGAAATAGCAAAAGCCTTGCCAATCACTGAAGCCAACACTGAGATGGAAATAATCCATGTGACAGTGAAAGCTATGGAATGTTTTGTCCTTTACACTCCATCATTTGTGAACATTACTGTGCATGTTACTTTTAAATGATGGTTTGATCCTGCTGCTACTTGAATTTGCGAGTTTATGGAATATTTGACACTGAGTTAATGGAACTTGAAATAAAAAATAAGTGAGAGATAAGAATAGGGCAATAAATAATGCAAAACCATGTTAAAAGGGATGACACAAAGAGTTATTCAGCATCCTAAGTTAAATTAGATGTTCAATGTCTGTAAAAGCTCGCAGAAGGACCTAAATAAACAGAAGGAGGTAAATAAACTTCAAAGCCAATAAGAGACGGGCCAAGCATGAACAGAGGTTGAGAGAGGGACACACTGATGTTAGCAGAGACAACTTTTGAAGTGGTAAAAGGGAACCCCAGCTCGACTGGGGGCAGGCAGCAATACACTGGAGGTACATTGGTTCCCTCTGCCAAACATGGGGCAGTGCCATTTCCACCAGGGCTTCAAGCCCAAGTTTTAGAGCTTTGAATCTTCTCACTGAATAGACTAATTTTCAATTTCTGGCAGTGCCAGCACTCACTGTTCAGCCTCCCCCAGACACACTGGCCCTCTGCCCTGTGCAGTGCACAGATGGACCAGCTCCTCCCGAGCTCTGCCTGCCACCAGGTAGATCTGTCACTGTTCTGGATTTACACCTGGAGTTTGCCTTCCCTGGGGTGATTCTCTGTTGTTTAAAAATCATGTTCCTTTATCTGCTGAAGCTGATATGAAATGGTTTAATTGCAGACTTACTTTCATTATATAAATAATATATTAACCATGCATCTTACATTATGTGTGAGCTGCGGCACCGGTGCAGCTCTCGTGGTAATTGAAGAATTATTCATTCTTTTTACTCAGTGCACTCATTTTCCAGCTTTATCTCCTGGATATCTGTATTTCTGTGGCTCTGCAAAATATTGTACAGAATTTATTGTAGTTACTATATGGAGAAGCTGACATTTTCTTTAAGGATGACTGGTCAATTTACCTGGAGAAAACTGTATTATGGAGGTTGCTGTTGGAAAATGCCTGTGTTTGTGGTGGAGTACTTCCCACGAAAAGGGCAGATGTAAGAGCAGTTCTGGATGTACAAAAGATGATCCTCTCTCCAGTTTTTCTGGGTTGTGCCTAACTACCAAGGCTCAGCTTTTACACTGTGTTTTGCTGTCACATGTATATTAATTATACCCATTTCTGTATGTGAATAAAAGGCTTATTAGAAATATTGATGGCCCCCAAGTAGTAAGTTAGCGTGCATGTCACCTCCTTAATTGTGGCTGCTGAAGTGCATACCCTTGTGTTTGATAATTGAAAAGAAATTCAGGCATTTTACCCCTCTTGCAGCAAAACTGAAGCTCGTTTCACATCTACAGCAAAATATGGGAGTGCATAAATATTTGTGCAAATATCACTTGCACAGCACAACAGCTGATAGAGACACGTTACCTCCCTGTCATTACTTTATGTATCATAGAAGATCACAATGAAATGCTGGATTTTCTGGAAGAGCTCAGAGTTCTGAATGTCTGCACACTGCGAGTGGGAGCCCACTCCTCAGCCTCACCACAGAACTGCAACTGAAATGCAAGTCACTTGTAGTTAAGGGAGACACCTGAAAAATGAAGTTATTGCTGTGTAAAGCTGAGCATGCAAACCTGAAAACAAGCTCAGCCAGCTGCTCCAAGGGTACGAGGCAAAACCCAGATAAGTCACAGTGAATCTTCCCATTGGCTTCCAGTCAGATTGCAAGTGACTTGTAGGTGGTCACATTGGATTAGTAGAAGGAGTAGGGATAAAGCTGAGAAGTCCTTATTCTCTGTCTCCTGGTATTTTTCCATTTGCTTTTTTTCTCTCTCTCCTTCACTATCTCAGATTTTATGCTTTGGACTCAGTTTGGCATTTTTTCCTGAAATTATTCCCAGCCTTAAGTATTGTAACTATGAATAAGGATCTCATTTCTTCTATCATTTACATGTTTCCAAGTTTTTGTCCTCTATATCCACATTTTAAAAGAATGCTAATAGGACTACCTGTCAAGAAATGTTACATTGCTGCTTCTGTTCTTAGGTAATTTACATAAATTAGTTTTAAACATTACTTTAAATAAAATCCTCCACAGGAGCATAAAATTAAAGTTGGAATGTAGTTCAGTGTGAACAGTATTTATTACTGTGATTATACAGGCAATTGGATGAAGCCAGCATAAGTCATGTAAGACTTTCCCACCTTCCCTGTTCTGTATTCTTGGCAGCTGTGGAGGAAGGGGAGGGATGTGTCTGAAGCTGGAGTAGCTGTGTCTGCAGTGTCTGACACACACAGCCTCAGGTGCTCCCAGCCAGACCAGCCTCTCCTGTCTCCTTCAGGGACTGTCTCACAAAACCCCCTCGTGGGACCCCAGAGGTTCCCAGTAAGGGCCTGAACACCCCAGTTAAACCAGCACATGCAAGGCAGCTGGGGATGGAAAGCAGGCTGGACACTGTGGCTACTCCAGAGGCTGCTCTCCCAGTGCTCGGTGGCCACAGCAAAGATTACAAGCAGCCCTGACTTTAGGTACAGTAAGAGGTTATTGCTACCATGCCTGTGTGAAAATCTCCTTATTCTATTACCTGGTTATGAACCTTTCAACAGAACTGCTCTGCGTCTCTGACGATTTAAACTTCATGGCAGTGATGCTTTTACTGACAGTTTGTCTTGTCAGGGAGAGTCAAAGCAGTGATTATCCCATGTTCAACATGATTTCCTGTATCAGTGTTTCCCAGGGGTCACATTACACTTATGTTTTATGTATAGCCATCAGTGGCATTGCAACAGCAAAATTGATTCTGTGCTCACCAAAGGTTTTATATCTGTGTAGATATGCATACACTGTGTATTTAGGTTTTCAAGTATAGCTTGGTACTTAACCTAGTGTTTTTTATGAACTCCTGTCTTATCTCTGATATTTCCTTTCACAGCTGACAGATTGTGTAAATAATGTATCTTTCTCCCATCCCTTTTGTCCCCCATGTCCCTGTGCACTGATCTTCACTACCAGTTGTGTAGTAATGCATTATCTTAATTTTCCACTGACACAAAGGCTGTCTGCTTTTCTGAGCTGAACCAAGGCACTATTTTGCACAGATCTGAGCACATTTGTAATCAAGCTGAAGCATTGGAAGTTGTCTCTTGGTAGAAAATTAGTCCAGCTGCTCAGAATAGATTAATTCAGACATCAAATCTCCTTTCACATGTTTGAAGTTCACAGTTTCTCTTCCTGAGAACTAAGTGAGAGTGGCAGAGGAGCAGACAAAGGAATAGTTGTAATCTGTGAGCTCTAGTATTTTGCCCAGTGAAGTTAAAGGAAATATATAGCTTTTTGGGGGGAATTTGTTGAGCTTACCCTGCTGGATCTGTCACTGCCCAGGTGCAGCCCCTCCAGAAGAACTTGCTGCTTCATACCTGCTCTTACCTTTACACTGTGACCATGTTTCTGTAGTGAGTTCTTCAGTCTTACCATAAAATTAACTGAAGATGTCACAGTAGCAATGAGTTCTAAGTGTAGCTGAGCTGAGATCAAACATCTGATGCCAATTATCCTCCATGCAGACCAGGTGATTAATTTATAACCAGCCTGGTTTTGTAACATGTGGGTAGGTAAACAGTTTTTGTGTCATTAAATTCATTGCTCATTTGTCTTAACATCCTTGGGATTGTCTTAAATTGTCTTAGTTGCTGGGCTGTGTAAAATAATAAAATAATTATTTATTGATCATTCTTTATAAAGAAATTATGGCATTTGATCTTGAAAAATGCCTTTGAACAGCTTCATATATTGGCTCACACTTGGAAGTGCTTTGCCAAAATCAAGATACAGGTACCAGGTATTTCAGTGTCATTAGAATTTTTTCAAGGAACTTTTAATTTATTATTTTCTTTATCTTTTTTAGGAGTTTGTTGTGCTGTCCAAGAGCTTGATGAATGACCCCATTATGGAAAAAGAAATTATAACCAGGGCCAAAGACTACGTGAAGAAACATCATTCCTGGGAAAGTGAAAGGAAAACCTACCAGAATCTTGTCCTGAGGCTCCAGTGACTTGCAAGAGTCCAGCTGATAGGCAGCAGTCTATGTAGAGCACTTTAATGATGGATCTGTAATTAGGTTTGGGTTTCTCTTGGGTTCCTGTTAGAAGAGATAGTAAGACATGCATTATTATTCTATTCAAACATACCAAGATCACAGGAGTTGCTGCTACTTCAAACTCTCAAACGTGTCTGACTGAGTGCACTGTCCCTGGTGTGCCAACACAGCACAGACCAGGAGCATTTTGTAAGCTCATTAGGAGAAGTACACTCCTTGAGCAGATGCCAAATTTTTGTTGTTGTGAGGCCTCCAAGGGAGGCTGATTTGTGCACACAGAGGAGCACTCACCACACAGAGCTCACGGGGAGGGTTCTGAGTTTGCTTTCCAGTTATACCAGGCTGAACCTATTCAGGTACACTTCACACACTACATCCATGTTCATAAAGCCAGGATGATATGAACAGAGTCTTAAATTATCAAGATGAAAACTTTATTCAGATCAACACCTCTGTTGACTGCGCGGTGATCAGGGGACCAAAAAGCAACCAGAGAGTTGTTGCTTGGGGAAGGTGAGGAGTACAGGGCATGTTTTCTGAGTACCTGTGTGGCTTTCAGGTCAGCTGATGTGGCCAAACAGTCCTGTGCCTGCATTTTCCCTGGGTTCCTGGGACCAGAGCATGGAGGTTGGCACAGCACCTCCTGTTCCAGGTCTCCAGTGCTCCCACAGCAGCGAGAGGAGCTCGCAGACAGAGATGCTTTGTTACATAAACTACCTCTTAGTTTGCCAGTTCCTTTGGTACCTCTATGATTTACTTATTTACTAAAAGATTTATGAGAGCTATAAAAAGGGATGAAGAAGGGGGGAAAAGGTATTTTCCATTTACTGTGTCTTTTGGTAGTGTTTGTTTACATTTGTGGCTTTTCAGGATATATTGTAATATGCTGCAGCAGACTGTTTTAAAGTGAGACTTATCTCTGCTTAAAGTCCATCCTAATCATCCCTGCCAGCCCAGTGATTATGGACATATATTTGAATACATAATTGGTCATCAAAGGACTTACACCTAGACCTTCCTTGTTATTAGGAAACTGTTTGCTTTGTAAAGGCTTGATCCTGCCCCCAGGGAGAGCCAGTGAAATGTTTTCTATTGATTTGAGTGGCTGTTGTGTCAGACTTTTCTTTGTAATAATGAAGTTCACTGTGTATTTTAAATCTTTCCTCTTTATTTTTGATGTTTTGCAACAGTGTGGTGCAGTAAACAAGAAACTAATTTGAATGTTGTGTATTGACTTCTCCAAAATTTCCCTCCTTGTTCTGTGATGGGCCTCTGCTCAGCATTGCCTTTCATAACACAATCCTCAAGGGCAAAACTGGCCTGATTTGAAATCTGAGAGTTGCTGCACTCCCTTTTTTGAGCACATTTTTCCTATATATATTTCTGGTGTGTCCTTTGCCATGCTGGGGTGTAAGTACAGCTCTGCTGGCTCTCAGTTTAAAAGCCACCAGCCAACAACTACCCCTGAAGAGATTCTGAACCTGCAGCTGAATCAGCCTGCTGGGTTTTCCCTGCTGCCTCAGGAGAACTCTTATTTCCTTGGACCTCTCCAGGACCAGTGAGTTGTGAGGCCCCTCATGGCATTGCTGTGTCTCTTTTGGCCACAAACTAAAAGCTAAAAGAGGTTTAGCTAAAACAAGGTTTTTCAGCACGATGTAACTAACATTTGTGACTAACTGAGCCAGCTTCAGGGAGCCCTGTTCCTCTCCAAACATCTCCTCACAGATCTCTTCTGCCAGCTTACCTCTGATAACCTGATGTTTGGCTTTGATCCTTAGCCATTCCTCCACTGCCCTTCCAATAGTGCTGGTTGCCTTCTGAGAAATACAGGTCATTAAAAGCAAATAAACAAATACATAATGTGGGATAGATGCCTAAGCAATGAGCTAATAGTGAATGATCAGTAATAGTAATGATTAGAAAGCTTTTTCTAAAGCCTGACACATTTGTCACCCAGCTTCAACTATAAATACATTGATCTGGAATTTGTGCTATTTCCAGCAAAACAAAATATGTTCAAGTGAGAAATTCTGCTACACTCTCAGAATGCAATTAACATATGATTTTTCAGGCTGTATTTAATCTATAAATATGAGATCTGCATCTGGCAAACAGCATGCTCATTTGCATGTGATAACCACACCAGAAGCACAAACAACATTTCTGCAATAGATGCATTAAGAAAAAAAGAGAAAAAAAAAAGAAAACAACCAAAACAGTGGTGAGTTCAGCCCTCAGGACTGTTGTACAGTTGTCAAACGAGGCAATGTTCATCAATCAAGGGCATTCAGCTCTGGTATCATTTATCACATGGGCTCCTGCTCTGCCACAGGAAGCCTGTCCGTGAAGGCTAAAAGGTTGGGGCAACAACTGCAGGGAATTTCATCATCATAAATTGTGATTGGATTTATGTTTTAAATTTCATCCAGTCTTATGTTCCAGGCCTATAAATATTCAATGAGTCTTGTAAGTCCTTGTAAGGAAAATATTAGACCCATGCAAGCGATTTTGGGTATAATTATCTTTCCAGCAACTTCACTCAAATGATTTTATAGGTAAGAATAATCCTTTTGTTGTCCTGCAGCCCTAATTACAGTATTTATCTTCCCCCTTCAGAGCCCCATGCCTACCCCAACAGCTTTTTAAGCAAGGCACACCTCCATGAGATGCAGATACAGCTCCAAAAATAGCACTTGTTCTGTTTGCGGGAAAAACCTACATTGTGTGTTTTACCCCACGGCTAACTCTGTATTTCAGGACCTTGAAATGTACTGTTAATTAATCCAATTACATGCATTTTATTTTGCAATTAATTCTGCCATTGAATCCAGGGGAGCTGAATGAAAGCAGTGGACCTGTACAGTGGGTGCTACTCTGTGTTTCCTTTCTTGGCACAGAACTGGAGACAATTTGGATGCGTGTGACAAAACCCCTCTGGAGCCTGTGGTGTGTGGAACAAGAGCTCCTGAATGAGGATTTCATTTTAATGAGCCCTAAAGCATACCTAGTCCAATTTTTAGAGCTAGTTTCTACATTCCCATTACAGACCTACCCACTGTATGCCCCAGGAACACCCACACTGAGTTAAGTCTTCCCATTTTTCGGATGCTGACCATTGGGATTTCCATCCTACAGAACCTCAGAGCTCCAAGTTAGCAGAAGGCAGTGGCTTGGTGAGCTCGAGAAAATTAGTTTTGATGCTTTGCTCTTACCCCCTTGATATATCAGGACTTAAAAGACAATTGTAAAAAAAAATGTTAAATTGTATATTGGAAGGTTTAAAAGTGTTTGTGCCTCTTCTGCAAATCATTTACCATCAATTTAGCCTGAGTGTTAAGCAAGCCAAACACCTGCAAATGCTACCTTTATGTTTAATGGATGCACAACACTTCAGTCTTCTTTTTCAACATATTTTCTCCTGCCTATTGGGCTCATAACTGGTTCTGTCCCTTTCTCCCCTCAGTCTTTTTAATCTTGAGGTCAGGAATCATTCCCCATGAAAATAAAGAAACAGTTTTGTCGAAGGCTTGTCAGAGGAGATGGGTGCTTCCATGTGGAATTCAGTCATTTAATGGCTCAGTGGGATCTGAGCATTTTTTTTTCATTAAGTTGTCCAAAGTAATTTCATCAGTCCAGAATTTATTTCACTTCCACCCTCCTCTGTCTGGTTGGTCCCAGCCCAGGCCCTTTAATGTTTGAAACTTAAATCTCGTGGTAAGAGCAGGTCCCTACAGCCTTATCCATGTCCCAGTTATCCTGATGCCACAGGTACCTTTAATTCTGCCTGACACACACAAAGGAAAGTCTTGATCTTCCAAAGCCTTAATTGTATTTAGAATTTAAGAGGAAAGGATCTACCTGTTAAAACAAAAAGACTTAGAGTCACCAACAGAAGAGCAAACTGTAATATAAAACCAAGATTCCTAACTTTTTTAAAACCAATCTGCATTTTCTAAAGGGATGGATAATCATCTGCAATTTAATTCTCTCTAAATGAACCATATTTTCATCAAGTAACTACTCTGTGTAATTCCTACGACATCTATTTTAGGTATCAAATATTGAGGGCACTTGAAATCTCTCATCCTTTCCAAAAAATGTAGGCCAGCATTTGTTTTGTCCAGTGCCTGAAAAAAAATGATTCTAGAAATTCATTTCCCCTAGAGCATTACCATTAAGCTAATTTAAAACATTTGTTTAAAATTAAACGATACATTTTAATTAGAGGAGCAGAGAGCATCTGGTTACTGAGAAATCAGAGTTGGGGATACCTGACCTAAAACAGCACTTAAAACACCTCTGCAGTGCCTTTTAACCCTTAATGCTCCAAGAACAAGTCATGTCACCTCTTTTTAATATTTTAATGTGCTTCTCACACTGCAGTTCCCATTCTTGTGTACTTCAGCACAAATCTGCTTAAGACATAAGTCCACCTACAACTATAACCTTGCTAGATAGAGGTCACTTATTCCATTTGTCTGATTCAATCAAGTTACATCATTTATTGAAACTAAATGCCCCTGTACTGCTTCAAAAATTAATCCCCCACCTTTGAAAAGTTGCACTGTTATTTTAGGGGCTTTAATGAAGTGAAATGAGTTACCAAATCTTTAATTTAACTCGAGCAATGTATCAAAAGCTTATATCCTTGGAGCGTGGCCTTTGCCATCCCTTACAGCTGCTTTCCAATATTTTTTTTTTTTCCCTTCTAAAAATAGGTTTAGGAAAGAAGTCACCTGAAACCACATTAAAAATTCCATGAATTCCTGCTTGTTCACACCTTGTATCCCCTGCTGTGGTGCACACCTGACACCCATAATCTTCAGCACCAGGGCTGGGTGATTTTTGGGGCAGGGGATGCAGGATACCCCTGTGTATCTTTTTCTGTACGAAAGTATAGCAAAGTAAGGCAGTGGGCAAATTTAATAACCATTTTCTGGAACAGGAGAACATTAGTATTACAGGCTCTGAATATTCATCATCTTTTAACACCATTTCATTCTCTTTTTCATCTCAGTATGACCCTGGTAATGATTCTGTTCTGAACAGGTTTAAAGCCTTTCACGAAGCCTGTAGCTCAGCCTCAGGTTTGTGTTTACTGTTTCTTCCTGATTACATCTCTCATCGTTGTAGCCTTGGGAAATGCTCCAAGGTGTCCCCGGGGTATTCTGCATCTGGTTACCCACTGCATCTTCCATCCCTTTTAGTTACTTTTCTGTAGCTTAATGAGATCATTTTTCTGCCCCTCCACTCTTAAAACATTTTGTTCCCACATGTCATTAGTTTGAATAAAACACCAGGACCTGTTCAAGCTCACACG